GCCGGTGCTGGAGGAGCAGGTCGATGGCTCCAAGGCTCGGCCCGGGGGGCCGGGGGGCAGCCGGCTCAACCTGGTGCGGATGTCATCCGCCCGCTCCAGCGGGAGCGACTCGGACCGCTCCGGCTTCCTGCGCCAGCTCACCTTCATCAAGGAATCCTCGAGCCTGCTGCTGCGCCACCGCTCCGACCTGTCCCCGGCGCCGCCGGCCACCTCGCTGCCCCGCCGGGGCTCCCCCCAGCGCAGCCGAGCCGCGCTCCCGGCCGTGTTCCTCTGCTCCTCCCGCTGCGACGAGCTCAAGGCGGCCAAACCGGCGAGCCCCGGCCAGCGGCCGCTCACCCCCCGAGCCCAGCCCGGCGGCAAAGCCACGGCCGGGGCCAAACCGCCTCGCCGGACCAGCTCCGAGAGCCCGTCCCGGCTGCCGGTGAAGAGCAGCGCGCCCGCGGCCGAGCCCTTCAAGCGCTACTCGTCCTCGCCCAACATCAGCGTGGCGCGGCGGGCGGCCAGCCCGTCCTCCGTGCGCTCCGAGGCGGCGGCGCGGCGGCGGCAGAACGAGCCGGCTCCCGGGGCGCCGCCGGGAAAGCCGCCGGTGGTGGTGATGAAGGGCACGTGGCGGAGGATCCGCGACGAGGACATCCCGCACATCCTCAAGAGCACGCTGCCCTCCTCCGCGCTGCCGCTGGCGGGCTCGGGCGACGAGGAGCCCCCCGGCACCCCCGGCACGCCCAGGAAGACCAGCGACGCCGTGGTGCAGACCGAGGACTTCGCCACCTCCAAGACCAACTCCAGCACCTCTCCCACGCTGGAGAGCCGCGAGGGACCCCCGCAGCCCCGCGCCACCGGCGACGGCGAAGCCCCCGCGCCCGCCAAGGCCGCCCTGCCCATCTCCTTCGGGCACGAGGTGCCTGCCGGGAGCTTCCCCGGCAGCCGGCATGGCTCCCCCAGCAAGGCCGCCCGGGTCACCCCCTTCAACTACGTCCCCAGCCCCATGGCGGTGACGGCGGTGGCCGACAAGGCGGTGGAGAAAATCCAAGCTTGATGATGCCCCAGCGAGGGTCCTGCGACGCCCCCGGCCCCACGGGAGCTGGCTGGGGCTGTGTTTGGGACACACGTGGGGATGTGGGACAGATGGGGACCAGCGAGTCACCCCACCCTGCTGCTGGCCCCGGCTGGGGTCTTGCTGTGCTGAAGCATCACCGTTCCCAGCAGCAAGGACTGGACAGAACTGGGAACGTTCCGGGTTCAGCCCGAGCTGGTTCTCATGGACCATCCCCTGCCACTGATGGACACCCAGGGACAAGCTGAAGTGGGGCTGTGTCCCCATGTGTCCCCATCCTGCTCACCCAGGGGCTGAGCCAGGGCCTGATCCCACAGGCCGTGGAGCTGACACAGCACATCCAGGAAAACCCCACACGCTCCTGCTCGTCTGGCACCAGCTCTGGCTCATTTATTAACGGGGAAGGGACACAGAAGAGAGGATTTGGAGGGGGAGATGGGGACCAGGACACCCGTTTCGGGGATCAGAACCCCTGCTGGAGGTTCCTGATGGCTGAGGGTGCCCTGTGCTGCTCCGAGGGGGTGGCAGGAAATGGTGCAGGAGGAGCCGGGCAGGGCTCGTGGGGGTGGCTGGGGTCCCGATGGGCTCATCCCAGGGACTGCTCACACGGTGCTGTCACCAGGCTGGGGGGCTGCTCTGGGAGGGGACAGGGTGCTGAGCTGGCACCAGGATGCCCAACCCCCAGGAAAGGGTCTGGGGTCCCTCACCTTCCACCACAGCCCCCCAACCTCCCACCCCCAGGGCAGGAGAGCCTCGGCTGGCAGCAGGATCCTGGTGTGTCCTTGTGGATGTGGACACGAATCCATCCAGGACTGGATTACGCCCACGAGCACGGGGCCTGCCAGCCCCAAAACCCTGGGGACATCCCCACTCCTGCTGCCAGCTGTGCCCACGTGCCAACCTTGGGGTGTGTGGGAAGTGCCTCAGCCCCAGGGATGGGCTGCAGAGGGACCCCCAACCCAGGTGGTTCCCCCAACCCAGGTGGTCCCAGACCCCTCAGATACCTCCAGTCCTGCACCATCACTCCCTGCCTGGGTGGGGTGACCTTTGAGCCCCCCCATCCCAGTGCCACGGGGGGCTGTAGGGACAGACACTGGGCTATGGGCACATGTGCAGGGGACACACCTGGGTGGCTGTGGGGACACAGTGAGGAGCTCTGGGCTGCACTGGGGACACACAGTGGGGCCAGGGAGACACCAGGACCATGGGGATATGCAGGGGCTCCCCAGGAATGTGCACGGGGGTCGTGGGGATGGGCACACCCCTGTGCCCACTGGAGCCCCCCTGCCCTGGAAGTGGCCGGCACGGAGGGAGCAGAGACTGGGAGTGAAGAAAAGCAGGAAAACCCCAGGAGCAGCACACCCGAGTGCTGTAAGGGAGCGCAGGGGTGGCAGGAGGGCCAGCATCGCCCCCCGGCTACAAGCCACCGCCCTCTTCCTCCTCCTCCACCGACAATCCCGCCGGGCTCCGCTCGCCGTCACTGTATCTATGTACTGAGGATGTTATTTTACCAGACTCTGGACAGTATTCCCAATTAAAAACCAACCTGTGTAAATAGGAAGGGGTGTTTGCTCTATCCCGTGTGTGTTTGGGCTGGCCGGATCCGCAGCCCCTCCGCAGCGTTTTCTGGATCCATTTCTTGTACTTCACGGTCGAGGTGGCCACGGGGGGCTTGGAAGGGTCGGTGGCGTTCTTGCTGCTGAAGGACATCACGCCGGCCACCGCCGGCCGCTTCCCGCACACCAGCGGCCCCCCCGAGTCACCCTGGGGGGGTGTGACACCGGGGAGTGCACCAGGGGACAGGGACCCCCACCATGGCCGGGAGAACATCTCACCAGCTCAGGTCGAGCATCCCCCCGCAGCCGGGCTCGGGTTTTTGTACCCCTCGGGCTCTCACCTTGGCGGGGGCCGAGCCGCGCTGCCCGTGGAAGCAGATCATGCCGGGGGCGATTTCGCCGCGCCAGAAGCGGCTGTTGTTGCAAATCCGCGTGTCCATCACCGTCACGTTCAGCTCCTGCAGGGTGGGCGACAGCCTCCGGCCCTGGCGGTCCACGACCCCCCAGCCCGCCACGCTGCACCGCGCCCCCGGCGCCGGCTCCCGGCGCGCCAGCGGGATCAGCTGCCGTGTGCTGCTCAGTGTCACCTTCCCGTCCAGCTGCGGGCGGTGGCGGCGTCACAACCCCCCATGGGCAGAGGGGATGGCGGGGAGCCCCCCGATGCTGCAGGCGGGGGTTTGAGGGGGAGCCCAGGGGGGCTGGGGAGCACCGAGCCGGTGCAGCGCCAGCGGGAGCGGGGAGATGACACCCGGGTGTGAAATCTCTCGGGGGTGAGAAGAGGAAATGTCACCCCGCTCCGGCTGCGAGCGCAGCTGCACCGACCCCGCGCGAGCACCTCGCCCTTCCCGGCCGCGCTTCCCGGCGCCGCCGCCGCTCCCGCCCCGCTCGGAGCCCTCCCCGCCGCCCGAGCCGCACCTGCAGCAGGAGCAGGTCGTTCTCCATCGTCCGTCGGTTGTAGCCGGGGTGGGGACAGGCAGCCCGGATGGAGAAGGTCTGCGTGCTCGCCCCGCGCTTCTCCCACTTGTGCAGCCCCACCACCAGCCGCCCCTTGTCCCACGACCTGCCCGAGCCCACCGGCAGCGGGGTCAGCCCGGTGCCGCTCACCCGGAGCCCCGTCCCCTGCCCGGGCAGGGCGCGGCCGTGCCGGACTCACCCCCGAGGCCGGCAGTGCGCGGCCGTCAGCGCCCAGCTCCGCTGCAGCAGCGCTGCCCCGCAGGCGTGAACCCCCCGGAACTGCAGGGACACCATGTAGGGCCGGGAGCGCGGCTCGGCCTCGCGTCCCCCGATGATGGACGGCTGGAGCCAGCTCCTGTCCCCGGACAGTGACTCCGGGCCCACGCCGGAGCCGCCGGCGCGGTGCTCGCCCCACGGGAGGGGCGGCAGCAGCAGCAGCAGCAGCAGCGGCCCCAGGCAGCCCCGAGCCCCCATCCCGCTCTCTCTGCGTCGCCCGGAGCAGCCGCCGAGCTGGAGGAGCCCCGGGTGGAGTGTGACAGCGGGGCAGGGCAGCAGCGGGGCGAGGATGCTGCTCGGGGGGGGCAGGAAGGGGAAGGAGCACCCACAAGGTCGCACCTGTGGGGGTGGGAAACACCCACGGCCCCCCCAGCGCTCGGCGGTGCAGGCAGAAAGCGACACCTTCAGCTCCCAGAAATGGGGGTTTGTGACATTTGCGACAGCCCGCAGCGCTGGGTGAGCCATCCCCACCGCCTTTATTAGCAAAGCAGGGCAGTTTTTCACACCACGGCACGGTGCTGGCCCCCGACCCAGCGCCCCTGGTGGTCCCTCAGTTTGTCCCCGCGGGCGGGACCCGCCTGGCCCCGCTCCTTGGGCGGGACCTCAGGCTGGCCAGCAGCCGCTGGAAGAAGAACTCGTTCTGGTATTCCAGCGGGACGAGGTGCTGCAGGAACGGGGGCACCTGGGCCCTGCTGACCCCCACGCACACGGGGACCACCCTGGGGCCGCGCTGCTGGACGGCGTGGAGCAGGTTCCACTGCGACACGCGCTGGCACCAGCGGTCGCCCAGGGACTTGGCCGAGAGGAGCAGGATGGCCACCCGGCTGGCCTCGATGACCTGCACGGCCGTCTGGACCACGGATGTCCCCGCCGCTTGGTCCTGGTGCTCGGTGAAGCCCCGAAAGCCCTCCTGCCTCAGGCGCTCCGCGATGCGGGAGGCGACGTGGTCATCCTCGGGGAAGTACCAGAGGGAAAAGTCGTAGGGAGCAGAGGACGTGCCACCCCCGGGGGACATGGCAGGGTTCAGGGGCAGCAGGAGGGGTGCAAGCTTTTGTCCCAGCAGCAGGAAAGTGCCACCTGGAGGGTGCCGGTGCTCCCTGGGAAAAGGTCACTGGGGTGGCACAGGAGATCCTGGCAAATCCGGATCGTCCCGATGCAAACGGCTTTGGGAAGGTGAAACCCCGGCGCGGCGCGTCCCTCAGAACGCCTTCTGCCGCATGTCGGCGATGCCGCGCTCCAGCGCCTCCCCGACCCTCTGCAGCTCCCGGCGCCGCTCCCGCAGCCGCTCCCGGGACTGCTGCAGCCGCTGCTTCATGCCCACGTAGGAGCGGACCTGCCGGTAGAGCCGCTCCCGCTCCTCGGCCGCGGGCTCGGGGCAGCCTGGCGGGCACAGCCGGGGCTCAGCGGGGCCGGGGGGTCCCCGTGTCCCCTTCCCCAGGGGGCTCACCTGGAGCGGGGCCGGGCTCCTGGGGGGGCTCGGCGGGCAGCACGAACACGGGGTCGGAGGGCAGCGTGCCCTGCACGTCGGCCAGGATCTGCTCGGCGCTGGGGGGCTCGGGGCGGGTGGGCAGCACCCGCTTGGCCTTGGAGCTCATCCCGGGCGGGGGCTCATGTGGGAGGGGCTGCGGAGGGGGCAGGTGAGGGCGCTGCGCTGCCCCCACCCCGGACGGACAGACAGACAGACAGACACACGCACACCTCCCCTCCCCTTTTCTATCCCCCCCAAGACGGACAGACCCACAGACCCCCTGTGCTGCCCTTTGGACAGACAGACGGACACCCCGCAGCAGGCAGAGCCCACTCACTGTGCCCCCCGGATGGACAAACAGAACACCCCCCCCACCTTCCCCTCCGGACAGACAGACAGACAGACAGCTGCCTGCCTCCCAAACACACACACGGGTCCCCTGTGCTGGCCCCCTCCCCCAGACCGACTCCCTTCCCCCCCAGACAGACCGACTCCATCACCCCGCCCTTTGGACGGACAGACAGACGGACACGGACAGACCCCGCCTTGCCCCCACCCCCGCCGCAGGACGGACAGACAGACAGAGCCCCACCCCCGCACAGATAAACCGGCCCCCTCCGCCCCCGGACAGACAGACAGACAGAGCCCCCTGAGCCTCCCAGAGGACAGACGGACCCCCCTGGACCGCAGACGGACAGACAGACCGACACCTCTGTTCCGGCCGCACTTCCGCCACACCCCGGACACGTCATCGAGAAAACCCCGCCCCTTTCCCCAAGGCTCCGCCCCCGCCGCTCTTAAAGGCGCCGCGCGGGGTCGCGGAACAGGCGGGACGGGAGCGGCGCTGGGCGGGCACCGGCGTTTATTGGGACACGGGGGAACGGAGGAACAACAGAGTGGGACCGGAGAAAGCCGCGACCCCGGGCGGTGCGGCCCGGGCTGGCCGGTACCGTCAGCAGGGCCGCGGTGCCGGTACCGGAGTCTGTGCGGGGGACTTCGGTGCCAGAACGGAGGGTGCCGGTACCGGTACCGGGAGCGTGGTGCCGGTACCGGCGTCTGTAGTGCCGGTATGGGGAACTTCGGTGCAGAACGGGGGGTGCTGGTACCAGTACCGGGAGCGCAGTGCCGGTGCTGGTCCCGGTACCGGGGCTGTAGTGCCGGTACCGGTGGCCCCGGTGCCCCTCTTACTTCACCTTCTGCACGAAATCTGCCAGGTTCAGGGATGTTTTGACGCCTGCGGAGACACGGACGGCGTTAGTCCCCGTTCCCGGGCAGTGCCCGGTGTCCCGGCCCCGCTGAGCACGGCGGTGACAGCCAGGCCAGCCGGGACAGCCGGGACAGCCGGGACAGCCCGCCCCAACCCTGGGGGGCTCGGAGGGAGCAGCGCTAAGGGGCACGTGGGCACAGGGATGGACACAGGGATGGACAATGGATGGACAATGGACAGATGGATGGACAATGGATGGACACAGGGATGGACACAGGGATGGACAATGGACAGATGGATGGACAATGGATGGACACAGGGATGGACAATGGATGGACAAGGGACAGAGGGATGGACAATGGATGGCCACAGGGATGGACACAGGGATGGACAATGGACAGATGGATGGACAATGGATGGACACAGGGATGGACAATGGATGGACACAGGGATGGACAATGGATGGACAATGGACAGATGGATGGACAATGGATGGACACAGGGATGGACACAGGGATGGACAATGGACAGATGGATGGACAATGGATGGACACAGGGATGGACAATGGATGGACAAGGGACAGAGGGACAGACACAGGGATTGACACATGGATGGACAATGATGGACACGGGGATGGACACACGGATGGACACAGGGATGGACAATGGATGGACACAGGGACGGACACACGGATGGACAAAGGGATGGACACAGGGATGGACACGGGAATGGACAATGGACACAGGGATGGACACAGGGATGGACACAGGGATGGACAATGGACACACGGATGGACAATGGATGGACAATGGACACACGGATGGACAATGGACGGACAATGTACACACGGATGGACAATGGACGGACACACGGACACGCTCTGCCTAGGGAGAAGCAGGAGGGCAGCGCCTGCTCTAGCCACGCCGCGGGACAGAGGGCTGGTGCCACGGGGCCCGGCCCGGCCCCTCGGTACCTACGGGCAGGCTGGGCTGCGGGGCCACCGTGGCCGCCAGCCGGGCTCTGCTCTTGGCCAGAGTGTGCAGGACTGGACCGTGCAGCAGAGAGGAGAGAGAGGTTAGACAGGGGACGGTGCCCTGGGGATGCCCACGGGCACCGGGAAATAATCACCCGCCGGTAATTAACGAGCTGCCCACGGCCCCGCGCTGGGAAAAGCTGGACACGGAGCAGGGGGAGGGACAGGGGGACTGGAGGTACCTTCCCGGGTGACAGAGGACGCCGCGTCCAGGGCCTTGGTGCCGATGTCACCCATCATGTTGTCCACGGCCTGGTGGTGCTTGAGGAAGAAGGGGCGGATGACGCTGTGGTAGATGAGCTGGGAGCCGTTCCAGGGCACGGGGGCCATGCACCACACCAGGAACAGGCACTGCGGGCACACGAGGGGCTCAGCTGCTGCAGCCCAAGGCTGGCCCACTGCAGCTCCCAGGGTCTGGGCTGGGTGCAGCCCCTCTGATGCCCTAAGTTTGGCTTTCATGTATTCCAGACTCTGGACTGCATTGGTGAATAACTCTGAACTTTATAGGAAGTGTCAGCAGCTCTCCTCACAGTTCAGTCACACAGAACAATCCTTTTCCAGCCCAAAACCAAGGACACAGCTCCAGCTTCACCCCAAAAAGTGCAAACAACAGGGAATGGAGGAGAGCAACCTGAGAGGATGGGACTGCACAACCTGGAGCTGTAACTGGACGATGAACCCCAATATGGAAAGGACCAAAACTTATAAAAGTGTGAAAACTCGTGACCCGGGGCTCTTGCACTGCCCAAGGTGAATACTTTGAAAGCCTTTTAATAAATGTTCCTTTAACTCTGCTCCAGGGAGCCTCTTTGGGCATCGCCACCACAGCCAGCTCCCCCCGCCCAGCCCCGGGCAGGAGCAGCCGGCACAGCCCTCACCTTCCCGGCGTAGTAGAAGGGGAACCAGTAGAGAAAAATGTCAGAGAAGAACTCGGCGACGCTGAAGACGCCGTAGACCACCCAGTAGGTGAGCCACATGGTGTCATCCTCCTTGCTGTTGCTCTCGATGGCTTTGATGCTGCGGCAGGACAGGGGGAGGAGGGGAGGACACGGCTGCAGCAGCCCTGGCTCGGCTCCACCTGCCCCAATCTCCACACCCCCTGCCCTGGCACGGTCCAGCCCTTCCAGGAAGGTCTCAAGAGCTTCCCAGCCATGATTGCCATTTGGGTGAGCAGGGAGACCCCCAGCAAAGGGCGGGGAGCGCTCTCCAGGTGTGTGACAGGTACTTACGAGACGTAGGCGGGGTACACGAAGCCGATGATGTTGCAGAGCAGGGAGGCGCCGTAGCCGAACATGAGGTACAGCCCCAGGAAAGCCACGGAGCCTGCGGGGCACAGGGGACGCTCTGGAGCCTGCTGCCACCAGGGGCGGCCCCGCTGGCTCTGCTGAGCGGGGTCCTCATCCCAGAGCGGGAGCGGGCGTGTTCCGGGGGGTGACGACCACCCCCCGTTAATTCCACCCCCCGTTAATTCCACGCCGCTGAGGCGCTCGACGGAGCGAGCTCCTCCCCGCTCCTCCCCGAGGGACCCCTGACCCACTGCTGTCACCGCCTGTCCCCTCCCCTGGCTCGGATGGGACTTTACCACCCTCGATTTCTCCCCTGGCGCGGGGCCAGGGCGCCAGGAGCCGGAGACGCCGAGAACAGCCACGGTCCAAAGTCAAGGCTCCGCTCGCGTCCCCCGGAGCCGCTCGGCATTCCCCGAGCTGCGGCTCGAGGACGAGCCCTGCTCCCGGATCGGGCTCCCGGCACCGCTGGCTCCCCTGGGAGCGGCGATCCAACCCCGCTGCTACTCAATTAGATCGTTCAATTAATTAATTGTGCTCGGATGCTCGCAGGAGGCTGGGTGGGGAAGGTGGGACAGGGAGATTCTGGGGGGGAAACCACGGCAGAACCCCGCTGTCAGCAGGGCTCAGAGGGCAGGAAACCTCAGGGATATTCGGGATGGAGCCCAGCACCGGAACAAATTCCAGCAGCAGCAAGAAAGCTGGGAATTAACCTGTCTGTAGGGTGAATTAAAGGCCTCGCTCGGGCTCGGAGCGTGGATAATCCCGGCTCTGCTCGCTGCAGCATTCCTGGGCTGAGCTCCGGATCCGGGCACCCACAGCTCCGGGTCTTTCCCGGGAGACGGGCAGCAGCAGCGTGGCTTTGGAGCGGTCCCAAAGCTCCCTCCAAGGAGGGCAGGCAGGTCCAGGCAGTGCTGGGTTTCATTCCCCAAGAGCCTTAGAAGGGATTTCGCAGGATTTTAACCCCCGGAGAAATTTATGTAACAGCAAAAGCCCAGGGAAAGGCTTTGCTGAGGGAGTCACAGGTGGTGCTGCCCAGAGGTTGCTCCAAACCCCAGCCCGTGGTTCAAACACAAATTAGGGAGGGAGAAATCAGGAATTTTTAGTTCAGCGACAGCTTCTCCTTTCCAGGACGGGGATGCAGAATGCAGAACCATCCCTTTTTGCTGTGTCCACTCTTGCTCTACCCCACAAGTCCATCACGGCTGAGCCTGACCAAACCCCCGGGATTGTTTTGCTTGGGAGATCCCTGAGTGGCACCAGGGATCCTGAGTGACACCTGCACACAGCACGTGCTCCTGCACGGACACTTTTCCCCCCAGAGTGGGAACACCAGCCCTGCTGCAGGGGAAGGGCCAGGAAATCCCACCTGGAGCCCCAGGGCTTGCAGGGACACGGGAAACAGGGAAGCCCTGAGAGGTTTGATATGAAATCTGAAATCAGAACACGTGGATGAGGCCAGCTCAAGTTGGCAGAGAGGGCACAGGGCCGAGGGTCAGAGGAGACGGATCCAGTAGGAGGATCCCGGGGGAGAGTCCGGCTGGCTCCTCATTAATGAACAACAGGGATCCGGTTAAAGGCCGGGTCCTCCCGGTGCCACCAGTGGGGCACGGGGACGAGCTGCCATCCCCAGCGCCCGCTCTGAGCCACCACCGTCTGGGGGCTCACCCAAAATGGGGACCTCGAGGGTCTCTCTGCCACCTCTGACACTCGGACCCCGCGAGCTTCAGGATTTGGGGATTTTGTGCCTGCGGAAGGCGAGGGCAGCGCGGTGACAGCGATGTCACCCAGGCACCCCCCGCCCCCTCCCAGCACGACCCCCAAACCTGCCTGCCCGCCCTCCCCGTGCCCCCGTGCCGAGCCCAGAGCCACGCTGAGCGGCTGCCAAGGCGCCCCACGGCCCGGGCGAGCAGGACACAGCACGGGAGAAGCGGGGGGGCCCCGCGGTACCGGTCGCACCTGTGGCCAGGTAGAGCCGTTGGACGCCGGTGCGCGCTTCCAGGCGAGCCAGCAGGTCGCCGAGGGGCCCGGGGCTGTGCAGGAAGCGCTCCAGGCGCTGCAGCACGGCGGCCATGGCGGCGGTGCCGGTGATCGCGAGCGGCGGCCCCGGAGCGGCCCCGACCCCGCGCCCGGTCAGAGCGCCCGGGGGCGTGGCCGGCGGTGCCGAGCGGAGGGGCGTGGCCAATTGGAGGCGGGGCGGGGGTGAATGCGGGCCAATCAGGCGAGGCCGTGCGGAGGGCGGGGCGGACGCCGTTGCCATGGCAGCGCGCGCAGCGGGCTGATGGCGGCGCGGCCCGGGCCAGGCCCGGCGCTGGCGCTGTCGCTGTTCCCGGTGCTGCTCGCGCTGCTGGCGGTGGCCGCCACCGCCCTTCCGAGCCCCGCCAAGCCCCGCGTCTACCTGAGCAGCTGGGCGGTGCGGGTGGCGGCGGGGCTGAGGGACGCGCGGGCCCTGGCCCGCCGGCACGGGCTGCTCTTCCTGGGCCAGGTGCGGCCCGGGCGGGCCCAGCCCACCCCGTGTGCCCCTGGCCCCACTTTCCTGCTCGTACCCGCCCTGTGTGGCCACTGTTGGTCCCCTTTCCCTGTCCCATCTTCCCTTAGGCCAGGTTGCGCCAAGCCCCATCCAACATTTCCCTTCAAACACGTCCTGGGGGTCTGGGAATGTTGTCCCAGCATCCCCCAACCCTCAGAGCAAACTGTCTCTGAGCACGCAGGGGTCAGCAAGGGACCCCCAAGGGCACCCAGCCCTCCCCAGGACTCCCTCCTGTCCCCAAGTGCCCCTTCCTGCTTGTCCTGCACCGCGGTGTCCAATTCACCACCCTGAGCCCCTCAGCCGGCGCCAGGCTGGCACCGCTGCCCCCCGGAAAAGCTCAGAGCAGCTCTTGGTGCCCGCAGGTGATGGAGGGAGAGCCCTTCTACCACTTCAGCCAGCGCGGCACCAGGCAGAGAGCGCTGAGCAGGCACTGGGGGTGGCACATGCGGCTCAGCAGGGACCCCCAGGTAGGCAGGAGGGCACGGGGGGCCAGGGCACAGCCGCGGGCAGGCAGTGCCCGCCACCCACGGCGCCGCTCCCCGCCCAGGTCCTGTGGTTCGAGCAGCAGACGCTGAAGAGGCGCTCCAAGAGGGGCACGGGCGTGGTGCCCACGGACCCCTGGTTCCCCAAGCAGTGGTACATGGTGAGAGCAGGCTCCTGCCCCTCTAATCCCCACCCCAGCCACGGCGTGGAGGGGACCAGTGGCGCTCCAGTGCCCCCTCCCTGCTCGGCACCACCCCCGAGGGCTGGGGATGGGCTCGGGATTGTTCCGGGGTATCCCCAGTCAGGGAGACCCCACAGCCCCTCTGCTCTCTGGGCAGGGAGAAGTTCTTCCTCCTGTGCAGGGGGAATTCCTGGGATCTGCCCCTGCCTGTTCCTCTGGTGCCATTTCTGGGCCCTCCCTGCAGACAGGGACGTGCAGGGCTGAGCAGCCCCAGCTCCCTCAGCTTCTCTTTGTCAGGCTGCTCCAATCCCTTCCTCAGCTCTGTGACCCTCCCCTGGGCCCAGCCCATGTCCTGAGGAGCCCAGAGCGGGGCCCAGCACCCCAGCAGGGCTGAGCAGAGGGGCAGGACCCCTCCCTGAGCGCTGGCACTGCCCTTCCCCAGACACAAAGCAAGCTAACCCCGGCAGTGATGAGCCAGCAGCTCAGCACTCCTCCGAGGTGACCCCGATCAAATTTAATCTCTTTTCCAGAACAACGACATCCACCCCGACCTGAACATCCTCACGGCCTGGAGCAGAGGCTACACGGGGCTGGGGGTGGTGCTGACTGTCCTGGATGACGGGCTGGAGAAGGATCATCCCGACCTGGCTGCCAACTACGTAACGAGGGGGTCCAGGGAGCTGCTCCTGCAGGGAGGGGGGGTCAGTGCCCTCACCCCAGCCCTGGCACTGTGCGGAGGGGGCTCGGCCTCGCCAGGGCTGGATCCAAGGTTTGGAGCCTCCCACAGTGCAATCTCACTGGGAGGAAATGTTAGAACTTGTACAGCTCTGGAGCCCCCAGAGAGGTGTAATTACAGCAAGCTGCAGAGCCAGTACGGCTGGAAAGCGCTCCTGGCTGCCCGGGGAGGGAGAGGCAGGCCTGGGGGTGTGGAACACCAGCCTTGCCCTGGCTCGTGGCTCCTCTCCCAGGGCCGTGTGGCCACCCAGGGTCACCCCCGGGTGACTGGCACACTGGGCTCTGTCAGCTGGGCTGCTTCCACCTCTTTGTGCAGAACCCCAGGGTCCCTGGGGCTGGAAAAGGGCTTCAGGATCATTGAGTCCAACCTGTGCCCACCTTGTCACCAGCCCAGAGCACTGAGTTCCACCTCCAGCCCTTCCAGGGCTGGGCACACCAAACCTCCCTAGCCCCCCTTTCCCTGGGGAAATTCCTGCTGCTGTCCCACCTGGCACAGCCTGAGGCTGTTCCCTCTTGTTCTGTTGACCCTCCCGGCTGTCCCCTCCTGCCAGGGGCTGTGCAGAGTGTTCCCTCTTGTTCTTGACCCTCCCGGCTGTCCCCTCCTGCCAGGAGCTGTGCACACCCACAGGGTCCCCCCTGCTCCTCCTTTGCTCCAGGCTGAGCCCCTCCCCAGCTCCCTCAGCCCCTCCTGGTGCTCCCTTCCCTCTCAGGACTCGGTTCAGCTGCAGCTCTGGGCACGGAGGGGCCCCGCTGTCCCCAGAGCTGGCAGGCAGTGCCAGCGCCAGGCTGGGTGCCAGGCGCCTGTGCCAAGCTGTCACAGCCCTGCGCGGGCCCTTGGGCTCACGCTGGCACCTCGCTGTGTAACAGGACCCGCTGGCAAGTTACGACTTCAACAGCAACGACCCCGACCCCCAGCCCCGATACAGCGACAGCGACAGGAACTGGTGGGTCCTGCCCAGCTCCCCACGCTGGGGGGGTCAGCTCCGGGGGGACCGGGGCTGGCCCAGGCCCCCCACCCCTCACAGGGTCCCTCTGTGCCCCCAGGCACGGGACACGCTGCGCAGGGGAAGTGGCAGCTGTGGCCAACAACGGGATCTGCGGTGCAGGCGTCGCCTACAACGCCAAAATCGGAGGTGAGAGGTTCCTCCAGGGCAGGGAAATGAGCTGCAGCCCCCTGTGGGGATGCAGGAGCCCACGGGGGCTGCTCTGGGGTGGCAGGGTGGGTGCTGCCCCGGGGGGTTTGATGCTCAGCCCAGCACCCAGCAGGGCAGGCTCAGGCTCCGCTCTGGAACTGAGGGTGGCAAAGGGGGTTAAAAGCTGGGAGCACTCCCCGGGCTTAATTATAAAAGGCTTAACGAGGAGATTTAGGAAGGGCACAGACCCGTGGGGGCCTGATCTCCTTAGGGCAGGGGCATGTGAAAGCGCCTCAGAGCTCTGAGGGGGGGCCTGGCAGGGTGTCCCCAGGCCCTCCCCGTGTGGCACCTGCGTGGCTCCTGTCCCCTCGGAGCCACCTCGGCCGCTCAGCTCCCTGCCCTCAGGTGTGAGGATGCTGGACGGCTCCATCATGGACATCGTGGAGGCGCAGGCCCTGAGCCTGCAGCCCCAGTACATCCACATCTACAGCGCCAGCTGGGGCCCCGAGGACGACGGCAGGACGGTGGACGGGCCCGGCGTCCTGGCCGCCGCCGCTTTCCACAGAGGAGTCGTCCAGGTGAGCCCAGCCCTGGCCTCGGGGACAGCAGGGACACGAGGACACCCTGCTCACCCCCCTCTGCTCCTCAACAGGGACGGGGCGGGCTCGGCTCCATCTTCATCTGGGCCTCAGGCAACGGTGGCACCAACTACGACAACTGCAACTGCGACGGGTACACCAACAGCATCTACACGGTGTCGGTGGGCAGCGTGCTGGGCGACGGGCACCGGCCCCTCTACAGCGAGAGCTGCCCCGCCATCCTCACCACCACCTACAGCAGCAGGACCACCAGCAAGGTGCAGATTGTGAGTGCCACGAGAGCTCTGCCACAGCAGCAGCTCCGGGGCTGGGCTGGTCCCAGTCCTGCTTGGCTTGGTGTCTGTGTAGAGCCTCAACAGCTCAAAGGGACCTGGAAGGAGGATGTGCTGAAGGTACTCAACCTCAGGCAGCTGTTCTGGAAACAGTCCTGAGACTCCTCTGTCCCCCCAGGTGACCACTGACCTGCACCACCGCTGCACAGACAAACACACCGGCACCTCCGCCTCGGCCCCGCTGGCCGCAGGCATGGTGGCCCTGGCACTGGAGGCCAAGTAGGTGACACTGAGAGGGACACGGCCCAGGGATGAGAAAGGGACGGGCAGCAGGAAGGCTGGGGTGCAGAGTTATGGCCTTTCCCCAGGCCATGGGAGAGCAGGAGAGGCGTTCCCTGGAGCTCTCTGCTCCCATTGTGACACTGAGGCAGATCATGGTGGGATCAATTTGGGCCCAGACTTGACCCAGCCTAGAAGAGCCAAATCTCCCCCTCAAAAATGAACCCAGACCTCTGTCCCATATCCTCCTTGCTTCCAGCCCAGCCCTGACCTGGCGTGACCTGCAGCACCTGATCATCAGGGCCTCCAAACCCGCTCACCTGCAGGCAGAGGACTGGGCCGAGAACGGCGTCGGGCGCCGGGGTGAGTGCAGGGCTCGGCCCCTCAGACCCCTCCCGGCAGCCTCTGGTGGCACCGAGGGACTCACGGGTCCCTCTCTGGGTGCACCCGTGTCCCAGTGAGCCACTACTACGGCTACGGGCTGCTGGACGCGGGGCTGCTGGTGCAGGCGGCCGCCACGTGGACAGGGACCCGGCCCCAGCAGAAGTGCTCGGTCCAGGCCGGCCAGGTCCCCAGGTAAGGGACAGTGACCCCAGTCCAGCCTCCCACAGGGCCTTGCTGTGCCCACCACAGGCACAGGGACCCAAAATGTGGGTCTGCTATGCTTGGAGGCCACGAGGGAGGGCAGAACACCCATGGCAGGGGGGGAATGCCCTCACCGAGCTCGTCCTCGGCAGGGACATCGGCCCCAAGCTCACCGTGTCCACGGATGTCTCCTCCTGCTCCGAGAGCATCCGCTCCCTGGAGCACGTCCAGGTGCAGCTGTCCCTGAGCTACAGCCGCAGGGGGGACCTGGTGGTGGCTCTGAGGAGCCCCATGGGGACCACGTCCACGCTGGTGACAGTGCGGTAAGGACACAGGGAGCACCAGGGCTCTCTCAGCCTCCCCAGGGCTCCCAAAAAGGGGCTCACTGGGCCCAAAACTCCTCTGGACCTTTGCCACGTGGCAGTGCCCCCTCAGAGCAGGCACAGGGTGACCCTTCAGGCACTCCCAGCTCTGCTCTCCTCCTCCAGCCCCTACGACACCAGCCAGGACGGCTACAAGGACTGGACCTTCATGTCCACTCACTTCTGGGATGAGAACCCCAAGGGGATCTGGACCCTCCAGCTGGAGAACAGGGGTGATGCCCAAAACACAGGTGGGTGCCTCATGGGGGGGTGAACCCCATTTTTACTGGGGTCACCCTGTGTTTCGTCATTCTTCCTTCCCCCACCCTTGGATGGGCAATTTGTTGGCTTCTCCTTGCTGGCCACGAGCCCGCCTCTGTTGGCTTTGAGGGTCTCCCTGGCCAGCACAGGGTCGGGAGCAGGACACAACCCCAAAGTTTGCAGCCCCTGTCCCTCCTGTGCCCAGGCCAGCTGACCAGCTTCACCCTGCACCTGCATGGCACGGACGAGGACATGCCAGCCAGGCGCTCCGCTGCCACCGCCACTGACGAGTGCCTCAGGAGGGACGAGCAGGGAGCCTGCCAGGGTGAGCCAGGCTCTGGGGGGACAGTGACAACGCTCTGGTCCCCAGGGCCTCACCCCAGCCTCTCTCCACAGACTGTGGCAGCTCCCTGTACACCCACCACGGCTCCTGCCTGTCCTACTGCCCCCCACGTTACTACGGCCGGGCGCGGCGTGCCACCCCCAGGGACACCGCCCTCGTGTGTGCCAGCTGCCACCCCTCCTGCTACACCTGCCAGGGCCCCTCGGCCAACAACTGCACATCCTGTCCCTCCGGCCACACCTTGCAGGATGTCACCCGCACCTGCCAGCCGCCTGCAGAGGGCTCCCCCGGCGCGGCGGGGCTGCGCAGGGAGCTGGTGATTGCCACTGTCCTCGCCTGCAGCACCCTGCTCATGGCAGGCGTGCTGTACCCCGTCTACCGAGTGGCTTTCCGTGCTGGCAGAGGAGCTCGGTGCTGTCCCCAGGCCAGGAGGACAGAGTGACACCAGCCCGGGCTGCGGCAGGGACAGCCCGGGAGGGAGCAGGGATCGTGCCTGCCTTCCCAAATAAACCGGTTGTTTTCTTTCCAGCCGCCCCCTCCAAGGGTGATTCCCCTCCCGGGATGCTCCCACCCCTGTCCAGCTGTGCGGGGGGACAGGCGTGGTGGGGGACAGAGCCGTTCCCGAGGGGCCACAGCCCTGTGCCCTTTCCCAGGCAGAGGGACGGGATGTGACTGTCCCCAAACAGCTGCACCCCTGCGGCCACGGCAGGAGCTCGGCCACCAGCCCATGTGGCTTCCAGCAGAGCAGGGGCCAGCCCAGAACCCCTCCAGAGACCCCAGTTCCTGTTCACCAGCAGCTTCAGGCCTTAAAAAGGGTCCCAGGGTGGCCACGCTGTCCACGGGGACTGGCAGAGGCACAGGGGCAGCTGTGCCCCGGCACGTGGCACCGTGGCACCGGGCACGGATGGGACAGGGAGAGCTGCCAGCTGGGGCCCTCCCGGGGACACCGGCCCCGTGCCAGGACCCTGGCCTGCCCCAGGACACTGGGGAGGTGGTTTGTGTCCCCCCCGCCCCAGCACTGTGTGTTTGCTCAGCTGAAGAGGTCTGGGAATTAAGGCAGAGCCAAACTTTTCTCCAAGCTTGTAATGACCCGTGAAAACCTTGGCTGGACCTTACAGAGCACGGGGAGGGGGGAGCCAGGATGGAGCTTTGTCTCCAAAGGCAGGGGCACCCCCACAGCCCCAGGGATGAGCTGGGATCCCCGCAAACACCAAGGGAGAGTCCTGGCACTGCCATCCAGCCCAGGCCCGTGGGGTGAGGTGCTGGCTGCCCCCGGGCACAGCTCCTCCGGGCTGGCCTAATCCTCAGCAGGCAGCTGGCAGGGCTGGAATCGCCGCTGGATCTCGGGGCGAACGTCCTCCTGCAGGGGAGAGACGGGGCAGGGGCGGGCTGTGCCAGAGCGCCCATCCCCTTCCTGTCCCCATGTCCTTCTTCCTGTCCCCATCCCCAAATCCCCTTCCCATTGCCATACCCACATCCCCTTTCCTGTCCTCATCCTGTCCCCACACCCACGTCCCCTTCCCATCCCCATGTCCCTTTCCTGTCCCCATCCCCAAATCCCCTTCCCATTGCCATACCCACATCCCCTTTCCTGTCCCCACCCCCACGTCCCCTTCCCATCCCCATGTCCCTTTCCTGTCCCCATCCCCAAATCCCCTTCCCATTGCCATCTCCACATCTCCCTTCCTGTCCCCTTTCCCCAAATTCCCTTTCCATCCCCATCTCTGTTCCCTTCCTGTCTCCGTCTCCACATCCCCGTTCCTGTCCCCTTCCCATCCCCAAATCCCCTTCCCATCCCCATGTCCTGTTCCTATCCCCGTCCCCATGTCCCCCTTCCCGTCCCCTTCCCCAAATCCCCTTCCCATCCCCAGGTCCTACCGCCTGGCCCAGCTGGCCCAGCACCGGGATGAGGCGCAGCAGCTCCTCATCCTCAGGGTCCCCAGACCACAGTGGCACCCGGATCCAGTTGGCAGCCTGGGGAGGGGACAGGGAGGAGCTCGGACCCCGCAGAGCTCACAGGGACACCCGAACCCCCCCGGGAGCGGCGCTGCCCTACCTGGGCAGGGAAGCCCTGCATGGTGTGGTCCAGGGCCACCGTCCTGGCCAGGTCCCTGCCCACGTGGGTCAGGTCCTTCCAGTAGCAGCCCTGGGAGCAGACGCAATCCGACTGGGAGAAGCAGCGCCTGGCAGAGAGACAGAGCCGTGGGCACCCTGCCCTGGCACGCAGCGGGTCCCCAGCAGGGCACTGCCAGCACCATCACCTGATCAGCTTCTTCTTGGGGTCCAGCACCTCCAGGAGCTTCTTGGCGTAGTCCTTCTTGGCAGTGGTGTAGATGAAGATCTGGCAGAGAGAGGGTGAAGGTCCCTGCATGGGCTGCTCTGGTCCCCCCCAGCCCCCCAGGGGTCACCCCACACACCCCGGGGGCTCTGGGTACCTCGAAGGTCTTGGAAAGGCTCTCCAAGAACTCCTGCACGTGTGGACGCAGCTTCACGTGGACCTGGGAGGGAAGAGCATCTTGGAAAACCTCCAGCACCCCATCCTGACAGCGAGGGGAGCCCCGGGGGGAGTTCAGTGCCCTCGGCAGGATCCCTCACCCCTCACCCACGGGATCTCAGAGCCCCTTCAGCTACCAGGGACATTGGCACAGAGGCCACACGGGGTGGCAGTGAAGAGCTGCCTCATCCACGGCCCCAAATCACAGCTCCCCACCCCCACCCCAGCCTCAACACCCACCGAGGCCCCACCTTGTAGGAGCTCGCCTGGAAGTCCGCAGTGAAGGTGGCCGTGGCATCCTTCTGCCCGTGGGCGAGCAGGGAGGAGTAGAGCAGGGTCCCATCCTGGGGACAGGCAACAGGGTCAGGGCCAGGGCCACCCCCAGCCGAGCCCCCCAGACCCCCCCAGCTCACCAGCTCCAGGACCAGCGTGTGCTGCAGCTTCCTCCGGACCCTGCCCCTCGCAGGGGTCAGCACCCCAGGGCTCGGCCTGGGGGGGAAGGCAGAGGGTCAGCGCTGCTGGGGGGGCTGTTGGACCCCCCCTTACACTGGGGGGCTGTGGGGACCCCCCTCGCACTCACAGGCTGGGGGCTGCAGGGCCAGCAGGGTCCTGATGCTCCACCTCGGGGAGCCCCGAGAAAAAGGGACCTCCGGGGCAGGGCGGTGCCGGGGGTCTCGCGGGGTCTGTGGGGCAGAGGGGTCCCGTCAGCACGGCCGGGGCAGCCCCCCCGCCCCGCGCAGCGATTTCCGCGGGCAGGGACGCGCTCACCGCTGTCCCCGGGGCCGGGACTGCCCTCGGGACCCCGCCGGACCAGGCGCCCCTTCCCGGGCGTGGTGGGGGAGCCGGGGACCCGCGCCCACCCCCGCGGGGCGCGCTCCCCCTCTCTCTGCCGGCTCTCGGCCCGGCCACGAGCCGCAGCCCTGGGGGTCGAGAGCCCCCGGTCCTCCCTGGGGGGTTTCTTGGTGCGTGGGGTGGCCCCCCGACCCGCCATGGCTGCGACCCCGGCAGGGAGGAAACCCCCCTCCCCTCAGCAGCCCCAAATGAACCGTGGGGTGGGAGCGTTTTTATAGGGTGGGGGGCACCTTTGGAGCCCGGAGCACCTGGAATCACTCTGGGTTTACCGGCACCAGCTGGGCTCGGCTCTGCCCCCCCAGCTGCTCCCGGGGCTCATCATCATCATCATCATCATCATCATCATCATCATCATCATCATCAGCATCATCATCATCAGCATCATCCTCGTGCTGATGTCACCCCGTGCGACAAGGACCCTCCTGGGCCACTCGGGGCACCCCGGAACCCCCGTTTGGGGACAGTCCCCAGCCACACCAGCTGGGGGGAGGGGGTCTCATCTTCCCCTGGCACCAGCTCCGAGCCCACCCCCAGCGAGCCCCGAGCGGGTGAAGCCCCCCGGGTGCCCCAGGTCACATCCTGTCCCCGCAGGGGCCCCGCGGTGGCCGCCAGCAGCCCCAGGGTTGGGTTACGGGCGGGGGGGCTCTGGCACAGGGCGGGGGGACACGCTCGGCTCCGGCGGAAGGGAGATAAGCGGGAGGTCCCCGACCCCGGCAGGCAGAGCCTGGCACGCGGCCACGGGGACAGGGACACGCCGCCGGGGGGGAGCCGCTCCTGGGGCTCAGCGCGGGGACACGGAGGCGACCCCCGGCTCATGGGGACACAGAGGGGACCCCCTGAAGGGGAGGGACACGGAGGTGACACCCTGCTCATGGGGACACAGAGGGGACCCCCTGAAGGGGAGGGACACGGAGGAGCCCCCTGCCCAGGGGGACACAGAGGGGACCCCCTGCCCATGGGGACACAGAGGGGACCCCCTGAAAAGGGAGAACCGTCGCCAGCCAGGCGAGCGAGGGGATAAACAATTTATTTTCTGCAAAAATAACAATAAATTACCACCCCCCACTCCACCCCCCGCTGCCACGCGGACCCCAAGGACGGCGAGATGGATGAGGGGGATCCCTCGGCATGGGAAGGGCTCGGTGCCCGGCAGGAGCACCCGGCTGGCCCCGGTGTCACCTCCCGGGGCGGTGCCAGCGGAGAGGGCTCAGGGCGGCCGGGGCTGGGGGCAGTGCCGGGCTGCCTCCCGCACCAGCCGGGCCTCGCGGGGCGTCCAGGGCCGGGCGTAGCCGTCGTCCTGCAGCAGGATGCGGTTCAGGGTGTGCTCGTGGTTCACGTGGCGCCGCGCCATCAGCAGGTACTCGCCGCCCTCGCTGAGCGGCGGGCACCCGCAGGTGTTGGGCACCCACAGGTACTCCCGGGACACCAGCGGGAAGCGCTGCCGGTACCGAGACTCCACCTCCACCTCGTAGCGCGTCTCCCGCCCCACCAGGCGCCGCGCCAGGATGCGCCCGTGGAACACTGCGGGGTGGGGATGGGGCATGCTGAGCCCCTCCCTGGCCCTGGCATCACCCCGAGCCTCTGGCATCGCCTCTGGCACCACCCCAAGTCCCTGCATCACCCTGGGCCCCTTTGTGCCACCGACAGCAGCCCGAGCCCCTTCCTGGCCCAGCAGCACTCAGAGCCCCTTCCCATTCCTCTCATTGTCCCTGGCATCACCTCAAACCCCTTCCCATTCCCCTCATAGTCCCTGGCATCATTCTGACCCCCTTCCTGTCCCTGGCATCACCCCAAGCCCCTTCCCATTCCTCTCATCATCCCTGGCATCGTTCTGAGCCCCTTTCCCATCCCTGGCATCACCCCAAGCCCCTTCCCATTCCCCTCATCGTCCCTGGCATCATTCTGAGCCCCTTTCCACTCCTGGCATCACCCCAAACCCTTTCCCATTCCCCTCATCATCCCTGGCACAATTCTGAGCCCCTCTCCACCCCCGGCATTGCCTCTGGCATCGCCCTGAGCACATTCCCGTCCCCAGCACCGCCCCCGCTGTCACCCTGAGCTCCTTCCCGCTCCTGTCCCTGTCCCTGGCGGTGTCCTGAGCCCCGTCCCGCCCCCGCCGCCCTCCCGAGCCCGGCCCGGCCCGGCGCTCACCGAAGTCGCTCTGGCAGAAGTGCCGGATGCGCTGCGAGCGCCCCTTGGGCGGGCGGCACCGCCCGCAGCGCCCTGCGGGGGGAAAGCTGCAGCAATTTAGGGGGCACAGGGCACTCCTGACCCCCCAAACCCCCTCACGGAACCTCGGGAGGGGAGGTTGAGGGTCCACACCCCAGAGAGGCTCACACGGGGCTCCTGAGAGCCCTGGCGAGCGCTTTTAGGGTCCTTTTTAGGGTCCCCATCTTATTCCCCCACCTGGGCAGCCCGGGATGCTCCCGCGGGAGCGCGGGGGGCTGTGGGGACCCCCGAGGATGTACCTGCGGCTGCCCCGTCCTTGTTCCCCCCGGGGGGGCTCCTCGGCGGTGGCTCCGTGGGGAAGCCCCGGGGCCGGGGGGGCTGCACGGGGTCCGGGGCGTGCGGGGGCTCCGGGGGCGGGGGGCTGCCGGCCCCTCGGGGCTGCGGCTGCCGCAGGGGGCTCGTGTCACCGCGGCCGAGCTGCGGGTGCCCGCGGGGCAGCCAGAACCGGTACTCGATGCCGGGGTTGGGCTCCTGCAGCAGCGCCTGGGGGGACACGAGCGGGGCTGGCAGGGGCGGTGGCAGCGGCAGGGGGGCTGTCCCCAAAGCCAGCGTGCCCCTGTCCCCACCATCACGTGCAGGTCCTCGTGGGTGGGTCCGGGCGCCTCCAGGCTCTCGGTGCCGTCGGGGGCCCGGCTGTAGGTCAGGAGGGTGCCCGCAGCCTCGTAGGGCCCCGGCCAGGCGATGGCCCAGTCGCCGTTGAGGACGTAGCGCCCGTCACTCGCCATCAGCGCTGCGGGAGGGAGCGCTCCGGTAACGCGAGTCCCGCGCGGCCCCGGGGACCCCCGGCCGGGTCCCCACCGGAGGCCTCTCCCGGCGTGGGAGGGCGGCGTGGGCCGGGAGCCGCGCTCGGGGCTCCGGGATCCGCGTTCCTGCGGGATCCGCGTTCCTGCGGGATCCTGGCTGCGGGCCCGAGCCGCAGCCGAAGCCCGGGGGGTGCAAAGCCAGCCCCGAGCCCCCGGACCCCGGCTGGGATGGGGGAGGGGGCTCCAGCTGCATGGGAAAGGGACGGGGGTGGGGGTGGAGGTCCCGGTGCTGCAGTGGCTGCTCTGGCCCCGGTCCAGCTCAGCCCTTCCCAAATCGCGGCCGCGGCCTCTGGAAAATTGCCCCGAGCGCTTGCGAGTTCAGTGACCCCGCCATGCTCAAAACAGCATCCGAGGGAGGGAGCGGCACGGCACGACAAGGGACAAACATGGGACAGCACGGCGTGACACGGCCACCCCGGCCCTGCCCTGCCCTGGCCTGCCCGCACACGCAGCTGGCACCAGCCCGGGCCAACTGGGAGGGACTGGGACGGACTGGGACGGAGGAAGTTCAGTCCTACCCAGGTAGTTGCGGCTCTTGTCCGTCACCTTGATGTGGGTGGCCCCGGCCGGGATCTTGGTCACATTCACATATCCCAAATATCCTGTGGAGTGGGGAGGGGGCAGAGTCAGGGCAGAGCCTGGGCAGGGCCCAGGGGGCACCACGGGGGGACAGAGAGGGAGGGGACGGGCACAGAGGGGACCCGGGGCTGGGACATTGACCCAGCTGGGCCCCCCGTGCTGGGACATCAGGGACATGTGGGCACAGGGACTCTGAGTGCCCCCAGGACACCCCTGGGGGCATCAGGGACATGTGGGCACGGGGACTCTGAGTGCCCCCAGGACACCCCTGGGGACATAAGTGACCCCCCACCCCCCAGGAGTGACCCCTCTGCAATGAGTTCATCCCCCCAAGTTGCTCTGAGTCCGTCCCTGCGTGTTGGGGACAGGGAGGGACCAGAGACAGCGACCCTCTGGATGGGGGACAGGGAGAGGGGATGGGACAGCAGGCGATGCCTTGGGGACACGGTGGGGACAGGAGGACAGGGGAGCCAAGAGCCAAAGCATTCACCCATGGAGGGGGCCGGGGCAATGGTTCATTCACCGGAGGAGGGGTCCGAGCCCTGGAAGAGCCGGTGCACCAGGACGCACGAGCCGTGGCCGCCGCCGCAGAGCCCGCAGGCGTCGGGGCGTGAGCCCAGGATCCCGTCACAGCCCACGCTCTGTGGGGAGCCCGGACACCCCCTCAGCGCGGGCCCGGGGGGTCCCGGGGGGTCTGGGGGGGTCCCTGGGCACACCCACCAGGCAGCGCCCGCCGACGCACAGGTCCGGGGAGCCGGGGCTGCAGCGGGTGCCGTCCAGCACCCGGCCGAAGCTGTAGTAGAAATTGTGCCCCTCGGCCAGGCAGTTGAGGTCGCAGAGGTTGGGGGCTGCCAGAGCAGGGCGAGAAGGGGTTGGGGTGATGCCGGGGACAGCCGTGAGCCCCCGGTGATGCTGTCACCACGCCGGGACTCACCTCCGTGGAAGGGCACCCAGCGGTAGCGGGCGGAGGTGCCCAGCACGGGCCGGTTGTCGTAGAGGGAGCACTGCATGGCCCGGAAGGGCACGGAGCCGCTGGGGCAGCCCTGTGGGAGCACCGGGATGGAGCACCGGGATGGAGCACCGGGATGGAGCGGGGACAGCCCCGTCGGTGCCGTGGCGCTCCCGGCGCTCACCTGCAGCTGGCAGAGCCGGTACTGCCGCGGGTCCCCCGGGCACGGCTGCTCCTCGCTGGTCCTGCGGTGACAGTGACAGCACGTGTCCCCACAGTGTCCCCCACAGCTCCAGGGCCACGATGCCACCGAGCCACCACAGGAGCGGTGCTGCCTGGTGCCACCAGGCCTTGGGAGCTGGGCACACAAGGCTGTGGCAAGGCCGTGCCATGGGATTCGGGTGCCACACAGGGTTTGGGAGCTGGGGACACCCCTGAGGGGGGGTCTGTGCTGCCCATCCCCCACTGACCTCAGGCACCTCCGCCTGCGCAGGGCGACACCGTCCCCGCACGAGCTGGAGCAGGAGCTCCAGGGTCCCCAGGACCCCCAGGTCCCCTGGGGCCGAGCAGGGGCTGAGGGCTCGGGGACCCTCGCTGGTGTCCCCAGGGCTGGGTCCTGCATGAGGAAGGGGATGGTCAGCGCTGGGGGTGGGATGAAGGAGCCCGGGGGTGGCCCTGCCCCCCAAGCTGCCCCCCCAGCTGCCCCCCAGCCCCCTCACCTGTGCCGTGCCCACCAGGCTGAGCCAGGCCAGCAGCAGCAGCCTCCAGGACCTGCGGAGCAGAGAGCCCTGAGCCGTCCCCAGGGACAGGGGGGTGGCACCGGGCTGTCCCCCAGCCCAGCATCGCCGCCGAGGCGGGGCCACGGCCGAGCCCCCCCGGGGACCCCAGCGAGGGGCACGGGAGTGAGGGGGGGGCAAGCCCAGACCCAGCTGAGGGTCCCCAGGGAGGGGATGGGGGTCTGGTGCCACTCAGGCGGGTGGGGGACACGCCATAGGTGATGCCGGGTGGTGACACAGGCTGGTGACACGGCCTGGGTGACGCCGTGTCCCCCACACGTGCCCACGCAGCCCCGGCGCCCCCGGGGCCCCGCGGCGGGCCGGGATCGCTGCCTGCCGGGGCAGGACCAGACCTGCACGCCGGGGCTCCGCGTCGCTCCCGATCCGGATCCGGCCCCTCGGTGGGGCGAGCAGGGTGGGGGGCAGCGGGAGGCCCCCGCAGCGCCCGAGCCTGCAGCACCCCAAAGCGCCCGGCCCGGGGTGCGGGGAGGCGCCGGGGGGGTGCGGGGAGCGCCGGGGTCCCGTTCCCGTGTCGGGGAATCCCCCGGCAGAGCCGCTCCCGTCCCGCCGCGCGGCTCCGGGGGGTCGCGGGTGGCCACCGGCAGCGCCCGGCTCCGGGTCCCCCCAGCAGGACAGGGGAAGGGCCGGGGGGTCGCGCTGCCGCCGCTCCGGGGGGTGTTTGGAGCGTGCGGACCCCGCCGAGGCTCGGGCGGTGCCGGGTGGGTGATGCCCGCACTCCGCTGGCAGCGCGGGGGGCACCGCGTGCCTCAGTTTCCCCGCAGGAGGTCCGGGAGGGGCGCTGAGACGCGGGGCGGGGGGGTCCGCGAGGGTTAAAGCAGAAACCAGGAGCTTACCCAGCAGCGTGGGGTCCCCCGCGGGGGTCGGGGCCGTCCCCACGGGCCCCCCCGGCCATGCCGCCCCTCGTCGGCGGCGTCCCGGCGGCTCAGTCCCGGCTCGGCGTCCCGGCGGCGGGGAGCGGGGGGGACCCGGGCCGAGCGGGCATCGCCTGCGCAGCTCCGGGGGGGCCGGGCGAGGCTTCCCCCCCCGCTCCCGGTTCGCCTCCCGTCCCTCCCCGCCGCGTTATTAATATCCAGCCCCAAAGGTGCGCCCAGCCCTCCCCGGCCGCCCGTTAACCCTTGGGGGCCCGGAGAGCCGCCGGTCGGGAGGGGGGGGCTGGTGGCGTCCTGGGGGGGATTCGGGTGCTGCAAAACAACATCAGCGCCCCTCCGGGAGCCCCTCAGCCCCAGCGGCGGAGGGGAAGAGGCAGCAGGACCTCCCTGCGCGGCCGGATCCCGCTGCGGGACCCCCCGTGCTGGGCATCCCCGAGGGCCGGGACCCCCGCGGGGGTCTCCGCTCCACGATCGGGGTCTTCTGAGGGGTTCGGGGGGGCAGAGCGGTGGGTGTTGGATGCGGGGGGGCACCCAGCACCCCTGGGCGCCATGCGCACCCGCAGCCCGGAGCTGAAGGGGTTACAGTGGCGGGGTGCCCGTGTCCCTCGGGGTGTCCCTGGTGCCGAGCAGAGCGGGCAGGATGGTCCCGGGGAGCGCAGGGGCCGAGCCGCCCCCCGGCCGGTACCTCCGCGATGAGGGCAGCGGGACGCTCTACAGGCGGGGACGGCTCCTGGGAGAGGTAACCCCCCCGAACTGCCCCCCTGAACTGCCCCTCGCCCCCTCCCCGCTGGGCACCCGGGGGGTCACACGCCCGCACCCCCCGGGGGATCCCCGAGGTGTCCCGATCCAAGCGGGACTCACCCCATGCCCTCTGGAGAAGGGGAAACTGAGGCACGGGACTGAGCCCCAGCAGCTCCCACAGCGAGGGGCAGCTGGGTGGGCACCACGACCCCCGGTGCCCGTCCCCACGGGGTCACTCGCAGGGCGCCTTCGGCCGCTGCTACCAGGTGACAGAGGTGACCAGCGGCCGGCTCTACGCGGCGAAGGTCATCCCGCGAGCCCGGCTGGCTGTCCCGGGCGTCGCGGACAGGGTGAGTCCGGGGGGACCCTCCCCGGGGAGAGGGGACAGTGCCCGTGGGGTCCCCGGGGGTCTGGGTGGGTTCCCGTCCCCGCGGGGAGCGTGCCGGGGGTCCCCGGTCCCCGAGGGTCCCCGGTGCCCGAGGGTCGCCCCGGGGCTGCTGTCGGTGCAGGTGGAGCGGGAGCGGGAGCTGCAGTGTCACCTGCGCCACCCGCACATCGTGCGCCTGCACGGGCACTTCGCCGAGCGCGGCCACCTCTGCCTGCTGCTGGAGCTCTGCAGCCGGGGGGTGAGCTCTGCACCCCGAAAATGAGCCCCTGCACCCCGAAACCGAGTCCCTGCACCCCCAAACCGAGCCCCTGCACCCCCAAACCGAGCCCATGAACCCTGAAATAATGCACCCCAAAACGGAGCTCCTACACCCCATACCTGAGCCCTTGAACCCCGAAACTGAACCTAAACACCCCAAAACTGAGTGCCTTCACCCCAAAACCGAGCCCTTTAACCCCCAAACCGAGCCCTTGAACCGTGAAATTCTGCACCCAAAACTGAGCCCCTAAACCCCAAACCCGAGCCCCTGAACCCCGAAACTGAGCCTAAACACCCCAAAACTGAGCACCCTCAGGCCGGGGCTTCAGCAAGGCCCAGCCTGGTGCCTTGCTCTGTCCCCTGTCCCGGTCTCTCTGTCCCCCATTGTCCCCAGCCCCTGTCACTCTATCGCCCATTGTCCCCAGCCCCTCCTCGCTGTCCCCAGCCGCTGTCGCTCTGTCCCCAGTCCCTGGCCGACATCCTGCGGGCTCGGGGCCGCCTGACGGAGCCGGAGCTCCGGTACTACCTGCGGCAGCTGCTCTCGGGGCTGCGCTACCTGCACGGCCACGGCCTCGTGCACCGCGACCTCAAGCTGAGTGCGTGGGGCTGGGGGGGACCCGGGGGTGGCCCCCGGGTGGCCCAGGGTGACATCGTTCGCGTCCCGCAGGTAACTTCTTGGTGACGGAGCGGATGCGGGTGAAGATCGGGGACCTGGGGCTGGCGCGGCCGGCGGCGCCGCCCGGGCGGCGCTGGGGGTGAGCGGGGCTGCGGGGACGGGGGTGGCCCTGCCCGTGTCCCCGGGGGTCACCCCGGCTGTCCCCCCGCAGGGCACTCTGTGGGACACCCGCGTACCTGGCCCCGGAGGTGCTGGAGCGCAGGGGACACGCGGAGCCCGCGGATATCTGGGCCCTGGGCTGCGCCGTGTGAGAGGGGAGAGGGAGCACGGGGAGAGGGATGAGGGGAGATGGAGGGCGGGTGGGATAAGGGAGATGGAGGGAGGAAGGGATGAAGGGAGATTGGAGGGTGGGATGAGGGGAGATGGAGGGAGGGCAAGGGGAGATGGAGGGTGGATAAAGGAAGGTGGAGGGAGGGTGAGGGAAGATGGAGGGAGGATTGGATAAGGGGACATGGAGGGAGGGTGGGAGAGATGGAGAGAGGGCAAGGGGAGATGGGAGGGAGGGAGGGAGGGAGGGAGATGGAGGGGAGAGAGGATGGGATAAGGGGAGATGGGGAGATGGAGGGAGAGTGGGAGAGATGGAGGATGGGATGAGGGGAGATGGAGAGAGGGATGAGGGGAGATGGACAGCAGAGCTGGAGGGAGGATGGAGAGGCTGGAGGGAGGACAGGGACACTGAAAGGAGGAAGAGGGGTGATGAAGGCAGGATGGAGAGGGTGGAGGGAGGACAGGGCAGCCAGAGGAAGGACAGGGACCCTGCAGGGAGCCCGGGGACCCTCCCGGCCTGTCCCCCCACCCCAGGTACACGGCGCTGAGCGGCCACGCCCCGTTCGAGGCTCGGCGCCGTTCGGAGCTCTACCGGCGCATCCGCAGCGCCCGGTACCCGCCGCCCCCGGGGCTGTCGCCCCCTGCCCGCGCCCTCATCGCCCGCATGCTGCACCCCGAGCCCGCGGCACGGCCCGGCCCGGCCCGCCTGCTGCGCCACCCCTTCCTCACCCAGGTGCGGGGCTGCGTGAGGGGACACGCGGGGACACCAGGGACACGGGGGGGTCACCGCCTGTCGCTCCCCAGGGCTTCACACCCCGCACGCTGCCACCCCGCGCCTGCCACGCCGCGCCCATCTTCGTGGGACCCGAGAGGCTGCGCTGGGTCCTGCGGGGGTGTGGCTGTGTCACTGTCGCTGTCACCCCTGCGGGTGGCCGTGCCCCTCCCCAGAGGAGCCGAGGCCGAAGATCCGCGGAGGAAAACCTTTATTAGTGCTGGGAACCGTCTAAAATCCAGTCATGGAAACAAGCGGGGTGGGACGTGACCGGTACAACGGCACACACACACACACACACACCAGTCTGCCCTTCAAACTGTTAACAGGAAAAAAAAACAACCCCCAAATCCAAACCCCCAAAATAAAAAGGAGCTCTCTTCCCTGCCAGCCTGGGGTGGGGATGGGGAGGTGCAGCTCCCTGTCCCGGGACTGCAGAGGTGCCAGGCCACCCGCAGTGGGGACACTGGAGAGGGGACACAGGGAGCTGTGGGCTGGGAAGGAGGGAGGAAAGTGCGTGGTTTCCCTGCTCAGCTTCACTTCTCTCTCTCTCGGGAGAGAAGAGTCGGAGAAAACGCTGAAAGCTCGGTAAAACAGGACACTAAAACCAGCCAGGGCCGGCACCGCCCGGCCGTGCCCGGAACACGGACAGGAGGGGACAAGGACAAGATGCTCGAGGTGGCCCCAGCAAAGCACCAAGGAGCCGCTCCGGACCCGCCCAGAGGGGACGGCCAGGGGGTGTCACCTTCCCGTGTCACCGGCGGGGCCTGGGGGACGGAGGTGACAGCAGCGACTTTGTGTGCACTGGGGGGAGCCTTGTCCCAGCGCCAGAGCCGCGCTGGTGACAAAGGACAGGCAACAGGAGCAGCCCGCAGTGCTGGGATGGTGGCGGTGAGCTGGGGCACTCGGGCTGTCACCGGTGTCCCCAAACCACGGCAGAGCGGCAGGGATGGATCCCACAGCCCTCAAATGGCCTCACACACTGCACCCGAGGCTGGAAGGGGTGGGACACAAACCCCAGCTCCCCCTGAAGCTCCTCAGCCACCTTGGAGCTCCTCAGCCCCCCCTGAAGCTCCTCAGCCCCCAAGGAAGCTGCCCCACACCTTTCCCAAGCCTGCAGCAACCTCAGCCTTTGCCCTGGGGGTCAGGAACCTCGTGCCACAAGACCCTGTGCCACGCAGGGTGCTGGGGCACACTGGGGACAGCCCGGGGCAGGTGGCACAGCCCGGGCTGGCTGCTGTCCCTGCCCGTGGCGCCGCAGCCCTGCCGGCAGCTCAAGGCCTGGCACGGAGCCCAGGGGATATTTTTATCCCGGCATTTGTGTTGTTTGAAGCTGTCAGCTCCGGGTTTTCAGTCATAAACACAACCCTCCCCTGTCCCAGCCCGGCTCGGAGCTGACAGCAACAGCAACACCCTCAGCTGCCACAGCCTGAGCCCCAGGGGCCCCAGGATGACCCTGAGGTGGCCCTGGGACATCTGGCAGCACACAGAGGCCACGTCCCCAAACCCCCTGCTCTGGAACACCTGCACTGGCCACCTCTGTCCCCCTGCCAGGCAGGAAGGTCCCTGAGGGGCTCAGGGCAGGATGTTCCAGTGAATTCCCTGTGGGTTTTGAGCTCTGGGATCTCCCCATCTTTACTGCAGAGCTGCCCAAAGATGGGGAGAGCAGGACTGTCCCTGCCCTGGTGACAGATGTGTCTGACCCGGGGCACAAACCAAGCCAAGGTGGCAACAACAACAACAATGAGGCTTCTTAAAAGAGAAGGGATTTAAAACCAAAGATTCAAGTTTGGGAACTCCTCTCCCCCCGCTCCCCGGCTCCAAATGAGGCCAAAACTCACCCTTGTGCAGAAATCAGGTTCAAAGTTCAGCCAATTGGTGGGGGTGACCCACAGCCCCGGGGTGACGAGGGCAGGTCACCTCTGTGTCACCACAGAGCCCCGGCCCAGGGCTGAGCCTGGCTCCCAGAGCCCGGGAGAGGCTCAGAGTGAGGCCCTGGAGGGGCAGCTCCAGGCAGGGGTGGCCGGGGGGCGTTGGGTGACAGGAACCAGGCGAGGGCAGGGGCGTGGGCAGGAGCTCCCCCCCTGCCAGGGCCGAGCAGCACCTCAGGCTGAAGGCACCGAGTTGCTCTCCACCTTCAGTCCCTTGCTGGCCAGGAAGGCGTCCTGCTTGGGCTCCCTGCCCAGGAACCTCCTCAGCATGTCCGCCGCGTCCACGGAGCCGCCGGGATGCAGGATGCACTTCCTGTAATCCATGCCCACCTGCGGGCACACACGGGGCAGGGCTGGGACACCCGGCCCGGCTGCCACATCCCTGTCACACGCACAGAACCCTCTCCCTACCTTGCAGTTCATGATTCCCTCCTGCTTGAAGCGGGTGTGGAACATGTCCATGGAGTACACCTCGCTCCACAGGTAGCCGTAGTACTGCGCGTCGTAGCCCCCGGCCAGGTGGCCAAAGGTGGCTGGCATGTTGGTACCTGAGGGCACACAAGGGCTCAGTGGGGACAAACCCCCTCCCGTGCTGTCCCAGCAGGCGCTGGCTCAGCTGCTCACAACCCAGAGGACAAAGGGAGGAATTTTCCAGGCTTTTCCAGCCCCGCTTTTCCCGGAGCCAGCAGAAACTGTCCCCACCCGGGAGGAACGTGCTGAGCCACGGGGCAGGGCAGGCCGAGAGGGACAGGAGGGTGGCACCGCGTACCTGGCGTGGCAGGGACACCCAGCACCTCTTCACAGAGCTGGGCAAACACCTCCACGGGGTCAGCCTTGGTCTGGGTGTGCAGGGCCTGGTCCACCTTGGCCAGGACGATCTGGCGCAGGTTGAAGAGCCCTGTTCCCAAAAGGAGGAGGAGGGAAACTGAGGCTGGAATGCTGTCTGCAGGAATGTCACTGAGGCTGGGTGGCACCTCTTTGTCCCTTTCACGTGCCACATCACCCTCTCTATTCCCACATCTATGGGTTCCTTCCCCTCACCCCCTCAGAACCCCCAGCACCATGGCGAGCAAGGAAAAGCCTTTTTTGTCCCCAGCCAGCTCACTGAGTGTCCCCTTCCCGTCCCCACGCCCAGGGGACATCCATCCCCTCCCACCTGTGTTTGCCTGCCGGGATTTAATGAGTTTCTCCAGCAGCTCATCCGGGATGGGGCTCCCTGTCTTGTAGTGCCTGGACATGCGCAGCAGCGGCTCCTTCTCCCACACCCAGTTCTCCAACATCTGCGACGGGGCCTCCACGAAGTCCCGCTCCACGTGTGTGCCACTGAACATGGCAAACTCCGCCTGGGGGACACGGCCAGCTCGGAATTCCACAGGAAAACGGGACGGGGGCAAAACCCCGACCTGTGGCGGCGCAGCGAGGCCTCACCTGAGAGCACAGCTGGTGCATGACGTGCCCAAATTCATGGAAATAGGTCTCCACCTCGTCGTGCTGCAGCAGGGAAGGGGCGTCCGGCGTGGGCTTGGTGAAATTGGCCACCATGGCGGCCACCGAGATTTGGCGGCTGGAGTCTGGCAAGAGGCAGCCGGGCTGGAGGCCGAAGCAGGCGGCGTGCCCGTACTTCCCCTCCCTGGGGAGGGACACGAGGCTCAGGGATCCTTCCAAAAGCCAGACACAGCCATGGCCTCCCCCAGTGTGATCCTCGGAGGAGCCCCCAGTGACCCCCTTGGTGACACCTCAATGACATCCCTGCCCCAGCACACGGCGCTGCCTCCACTCCACAGCTGGGAGCAGCACCTCCTCCTCCTCCTCCTCCTCAGGCTCTGCTCCCCTGCCCCAGCCCTGCTCCTGGATTTCCCAGGCCTCACCGTGGGTACAGATCCAGGTAGAACTTCCCGATGGTCTCCCCGGAGGCCGCGTCCTTCACCGTGTAGAGCTGCACGTCCTCGTGCCACACCTGAGCCTTCTCCTCCAGGTGGAAGGTGAGGCCCAGCAGCTCCTGGTAGATGGCCAGGAGGCCTGTGGTGACCACCTGCATGGGGAAATACTCCTTGAGCAGGTTCTGGTCCACGCTGTACTTGGTCTCCTCCACCTGGTTCATGTAGTAGCGCATGTCCCAGGCGTTGATGCGGTTGTCGAACTCCAGCCCGCGCTTCTCGCACTCCTTCTTCTTCAGGTCCAGGATCACCGCCCGCTCCTTCTCCCCCAGGGGCTTCAGCTTCTGGGCCAGCTCATCTGGGGAAGCCAGGCGGGGTTGGGATCAGGGATCAGAGCAGCACAGCCAGCCCAGGATGGCCCCGCTCGGCCCCGGGACGTACCCAGGAACGTGGCCACCGTCCGGCTGCTCTTGGCCATGTTCATCTCCAGCACGAAGTCGGCGTGGGTGCTGAAGCCCAGCAGATTGGCCTTCTGAGCCCTCAGGTCCACCAGCTCCTTCAGGATCAGGCAGTTCTCCTGCAAGGCAGAGGGTGAGTACACAGGGGAGGAGTGTGGAAAGAAACACAAATCCCGGGGGGGATCCCTGCGTGCCCTGGTCAGCCCCACCGACCTCTTTGCACCTGGAGTTGAACATCTCCTCCACCTTCCTCCTGGTCTCGGGCACGTAGCACTTCTTCAGCAGGGGGAAGTAGTGTGGGTACTTCAGGGTGACCTTCAGCTTCCCATCCTCCGTCTTCTCCAGGGAGTTCAGGAAATCCTCAGGGAGCCCCCCTGGGAAAAGAGCAGGCAGGGGCTGAGGGTGAGCCCAGGATCCTCCAGGAATGCTCTGGGATCATCCAGTGCAGGCGCTCCATACCTAATTCCTCCCTGGAGAAGGGCAGGAAGGTGGTGTCCTCGTTGAGGTTCTTGTTGAAGTCGATGCACAGCACGCTCAGCTTTTTCTTGATAGCTTTGATTTTCTTCAAAACGCAGAAAATCGGAGAGAAGTCAGAGCTGGGGGGGCACTCAGGCTGTGCCCACCCTGCTGAGCTGCCAGCTCTGAGCCAGCCCAAATTAATGCACAATTAATGATGGTGAGGCAGCAGCCCAGAAAGGCTCCCTGGGGTCACACCTGGCAGGGTTCAGCCACCTCAGCAAGGTCCTGCCTCTCCCCTGCTGCTTCAGGAGCTGCAGGTGCTGCAGTAACAACCTCCCCTCTCCTTATTTCACATTTTCTTCTGGTTTTAACCCAGTTTTGAGCTCCTCTGCTGGTGCATGGTAAGAGAGGGAGGCCCCTGAGCAGCTCAGCCCACTCACCCCAAATCCAGTCCCTGGCACTTGGTGGGGATTTGGTGCTAATTCCCCAATTTCACCTCCCCAGGAATTCCTTAACTCCCACTTTGTTAACATCACCCTTTCAACAGAAAGGGAAAAGTGAGGGCTGGAGACATCACCCAAAACCACCAGAACTGGGGGCAAACCCCAAACCTGAGCCTCAGACCCTGCCAGGGCTCCTCTCCCTGTGACAGGGACAAGGGGCAACGGATTCAGACTGACAGGAAGAAAGATTAGATGGGATATTAGGAAAAAATTCCTTCCTGTGAGGGTGAGGAGACCCTGGCACAGATTTCCCAGAGGAGCTGGGGCTGCCCCTTCCCTGGAAGTGTCCAAGGCCAGCTTGGAGCAACCTGGGACAGTGGAAGATGGGCTTTAAGGTCCCTTCAGCCCAAACCACCCTGGGATTCCGTGCTCTCACCTCCTGTGTCTCCTCAGGGAGGTGGAGCCCGTTCCTTTTCCCCAGCTTGATCAGCCTCTCCAGGTACCTCTTTGCCTCGGGCCTCAGGGAAGCACTCTCTGCTTTCTCCTGGAAAACAAAACAAATCCCTCCTCCTCAGGGAGCTGCAGGAAGCTGCTTCCCAGTGGGGGCTCTGGGAACACCAGAGACCCAGCAGCAGGGGGAAAAGCCCCAGGGAAGGCTCTGGTTTGGTGCAGAGGTTCCTGTGTCACCTCGGGGCAGGGGTTCCTCCCAGACTGCTTTAAACACGTCACCTTTGTGCCACGTCAGCATTTTGGGGGGCACTTTTGGGGGCATCACCACTGAGGTGGGTTGGATTTACCAATCAGCAAAGGGGGTGATGAAGGCTCTGAGTGGGGGCCAGAGCCAAATCCCAACTTTCCCACCCCTCACTACAGCTGGACCACCCTGCCGCGACCACACCGCGCTCCCACCCCACCCCTGCACCCTTCCCTTTTTAACTCTGGCACGAGGAAAAAGGATTTGCTGGAATTGCAGGGGGTTCCAAGCCCTGCCTGGGCGGCAGGGGACACACCTGGAGCCACACAATCCTCTGGTACACGTCCTGCCTCATGCTCATCTCCACGTCGAACTCCGAGAGCTTCTTGTCGGCCTCGGTGCTGGCGGCGCGGATGGCCTTGCAGGGGGACACGTGCTGGGGGAAGTCCAGCATGTTCCTACGGACTGGGGGCAGAAAAGGGGACAAGAGTGATGGCTCCACATCCCAGAGCCAGGCTGGCAGCCCCAGAGCCTTTCCCATAACAGGGGAGGGGTGGGATGTGGCTCCTGCACTCCTTGGTCATTTTTCCTGCAGCCCAGCTCATCCACTCGCTGGATTCCCACCACAATCCTCCTAAAATCCATGGGAATTCTGTGCCTGTGAGCCCCCAGCAGCTCTGCCCCAGCCGGGGCAGCACAGGAGGGTTGGGGAGTCCCAGCTCATCCACCTGCTGGATTCCCACCACAATCCTCCTAAAATCCATGGGAATTCTGTGCCTGTGAGCCCCCAGCAGCTCTGCCCCAGCTGAGGGTTGGGGAGTCCTCGATGCTCCCTTCCAGCTGGAGGAATTCCATGATTCCTGATGGCAGCAGCGTTCCCTGTCTCCTTTAAACCCCAAAGTGGGACAATCCCTTCCCACAGACACTTCCCCAAAATCCACCACGCTCCAGGTGCGCCCTGTCCTGATGCAATTCCACGGAGGAAAGCAGGGAGAACATTCCCTGCTGCTCTCCCTGCAGAAGCTCCAGGAACAGCCCTGCAGGTGCTCTCCAGGCACCTGGACCCCCCCAGGAGGAGCTGAGCAGGCAGCTCAGCCAGGGAAGTGCTGACAGTCCTGCTGAGTGCACATTCCTCCTGCTGAGCAGGAGGATTTATTTTTTTTTCCCTATTATTTTAGGAAAAAAGAACAAGCAGAGGAGGAAGATGAGGCTGCTCCCTGCCCCAGACAGGTGGGACAGCTCGAGCACAGGCAGCAGCCCAGGTGTCACGAGGAGGGGCCACCTGAATTGTCACCCTGGTGCAAATAATCACCCAGAAAGCCACCAAAACTGCACAGGTTTGGTGCCATCACGTCGTGGTATTCCCCCAAAAAAATCCCAGCGGGATTTACTCCCCCCAAAAAATCCTAAGGGGATTTATTCTCAAAAAAAAAAATCACAGCAGGACTGAACTCCCCCAAAAAATCACAGCAGGATTGAGTCTTCAAAAAAAAAATATCACAGCAGGATTTACTCCCCAAAAAACTCATAGCAGGATTTATTCTCAAAAAGAATCCCAACAAGATTGACTCTCCCAAAAAAAAAAAAATCACAGCAGGATTGACTCTCGCAGGATTTATTCTCAAAAAGAATCCCAACAAGATTGACTCTCCCCAAAAAAAAAATCACAGCAGGATTGACTCTTCCAAAAAATCCTAGCAGGATTTATTCTCCCAAAAAAATCCCAGCAGGATTTATTCTCAAGAAAAATCCCAACAAGACTGACTCTCCCAAAAAAATCCCAGCAGGACTGACTCTTCCAAAAAATCCTAGCAGGATTGACTCTTCCAAAAAATCCTAGCAGGACTGACTCTTCCAAAAAATCCTAGCAGGATTTATTCTCCCAAAAAATCCCAGCAGGATTTACTCTCCAAAAACACCCAGCAGGAAACAAGGCACATGGAGAGACATTTGCCCACTGCCCCAGGGAAAACCGAGGAAGGAGGTGAGAGTTTCTTGGATCTTTTCAGTGTTTGTTCCCACTGGTGAGACATGAAAGCCAGGACAGCCTTGGGAACACGGCTGCTCCTGCTGCCCTTGGGTTCATTTGCCTTTCCAAATCTGTTCTTTGTGCTGGTTCCTTGCTGTATAAACATTAACTGGGAATAAAACCAACATTCTGCTGGCAGCCACGGGGAGAGAAAAGCAGGTGACAGCACAGAGCTAAAAAAAAAAAATTAATCTAAAAATCTTAATAATGGTGGGATGGGTTGGAAGGGACCTCAAAGCTCAGCCCTGCTGTGGGCAGGGACATCTCCCACTGGCCCAGGGGGCTCCAAGCTGGCCTTGGACCCTTCCAGGGATGGGGCAGCTGCTCTGGGCAAGCTCAGAGCCTCCCACTAGATTTACTAAATTGTAAAATTAGGTGACCCCTCGTTGAAGGGAACAATGATGCATCTGACCCTATGATATCAGAAGGTGAATAATTAATTAATTTATGATACTGTATTTTTTATACCATATATATACCTTATATATATTTATTTATATATTTATATATATATTTTATACTGTTCTAAACTGAATCTGTACAAGCACTCAACAAAATCTGGTGATGTCTCCTGACCACCATCAGGACACAGTTTGTAGAGATTGCTTAAGAAAACAAAACGCTCACACTAGAATCCAATCAAGCAAATCCTTTCAGGTAAATAAGCTTTTAACACATTCCACATGCTCCAGAACACGGCAGCAGCCAATGAGACAAGAACTGTTTTGATCTCTGTGCTCCTCCAGCAAAAAGCTGAGGGAGAGAATTACATCTCTCTGTGTTCAGAGAACGTGAATGCCACATCCAACCTTCCTGGGGGGGATTCCTCCCCGGTATCCCATCCCTGCCAGCAGGAACAGCTCCCCCTGGCCTGGGTATCCCACCCCCTGGCCCATTCCCACCTCTGTATGGCTGTGATCCATCTCCACACCCATCCCTACCTGTGCGTTCCATCCCCACCTGTGTATCCCACCCTGGGGCCTGTCCCCATCAGTGTATTCCATCTCCACACCCATCCCTACCTGTGTATTCCACCCCCTGGCCCTTCCCCACCTCTGTATTCCTGCATCCCACCTCCAAATCCATCCCCACCTGTGTATCCCAACCCCTGGCCCATTCCCACCCGTTTATTCCACCTCCACATCTGTCCCCAGCTGTGTGTTCCACCCCCTGGCCTGTCCCCACCTGTGTATTGCACCTCCACATCTGTCCCCAGATGCGTATTCCACCTCCACCTGTGCATTCCACCTCCAAGCCCAACCCCACCTGTGCATTCCACTCCCTGGCCCTTCCCCACCTCTGTATTCCACCTCCACACCCATCCCCACCTGTTTATTGCACCTCCACATCAGTCCCCAGATGTGTATTCCACCTCCCCCTGTATATTCCATCTCCACACCCATCCCCAGCTGTGTATCCCACCTCCACATCTGTCCCCAGCTGTGTATTCATCCTCCACATCCCCACCTGTGTATTCCATCCCCACCTGTGTATTCCACCTCCACCTGTGCATTCCACTCCCTGGCCCTTCCCCACCCCTGTATTCCACCTCCACACCTATTCCCCGCTGTGTATTGCTCCTCCACATCTGTCCCCAGCTGTGCATTCCGCCCCCACCTGTGTATTCCACCTCCACGTCGGCCAGAGCCTTCAGCGTGTTCTCGTAGTTGACCTCGCCGCGCTCCTGGGCTCCCACGCGGTCGTAGACGAGCTTGGTGCTCTCGGTGAGCTCGGCGGCCATGGCCTCGATCTGCTCGGCCGTCAGGTCCCAGCGCAGCTGGCAGCCCAGGGCCCGCGGCGCCTGGCTGTCCACCACGTTCCCTGCGGGACAGCGGCGAGCCCGGGCTGGGAAACTGCGGGGGGATCAGCCCCGGGAGCTCCCCGCCCCGCCGAAACCGTGCCCGGCCAGCTGCCTGTGCCCTGCTCGGGGACAGGGCCGCGGGGGTGACCCGGGCCGGCCTGAGGGGGTGACCCCGGCCCGTCCTCCGCCCCGTCCCTCTCCCCTCCGCCGCTCCCCCCCGCCCTCTCCCGGTGTCCCCGCGCTCCCCATCCCGCCGGTACCTGTCGGGGGGGCCATGTCGGTGCTGCCGGGCGTACCGGGAGGCCCCGCGCTGCTGACGAGGAAACCGGGCCGGCCCCACGCACCGAGCATGTGCCCCGACCGGAGAGGCGGGCGGGAGAGCGGGGCATGCTGGGAGCCTGGAGGACCGGGCCGCTCCCGCCGCGCCCGCACGGCGGCGGGGCCGGGCAGCGGGGGCGGCTCATCCCCGCCGCGACCCTCGGAGCGGGCCGGGAGCGGCCCCGGGGCGGGAGTCGAGCATCCCCGGGTCCCGCCCGCCCGTTCCCATGGCAACGCCCCCGCGCGTTGCCGTGACAACGCCGCATCTCTATGGTACCGGCGGGGGCGGGGCTTCCGCCGCAGGCCACGCCCATCCCTGCGCTGACGGGAGGGGCGGGGCCGCAGCGGCGCCGGCGCGCGGCGGGCGCGGCGCATGCGCAGTGCGGGAGCGCGCCCGGCCCAGGCGAGTGTCCGGTGAGCGCGGGGGAACCGGGGACACCGGGACTGGAACGGGGGACACCGGGACCGGGAACACCGGCACCCCTCCGCCTCGGGAGCCGCCGGTGCCGGGCCGTGCTGCCCGCCGGCAGCCGCGCCTCCGGTCCGCCTGGGGACAGCGGCACCGGCGGTACCGGGTGCACCGGGGCCTGGCGGGGCGGGACGGGACGGACCGGGAGCGGGCTGTGCCCCGCCGTGGGGCTCTGTGTCCGCGCTCCTGCCGGTGCCAGGCCCGGCAGTCACCGCCCCGCTCCCGGTGAGCGCGCCGGGAGCCGGCGGGTCCCCGGTTGCTGCACCGGGGCAGGGTCCGGGCGGTGCTCGCGGGGCTCTGGGGAGCGGGACGGGGGCACCGGGCAGCGCTGCCTCCCCCTGCCCGCCCGGAGAACGGAGGCTCGCGGGGCACGGGAGCCGGGCGGGCCCGGTGCTGCTCCGGGCACGGTTCAGCCCCGGTGCGCTCGCGTTAAGCCGAGCCCGTGGCTCGGTTCAGGGAGCCCGGCCGTGCTGCACACCCCGTTACAGCCCGCGGAGCCGCTGTCCCCCGGGAGCTGCCCTGGCACCGCTGGGATTGCCAGCCCCGGGCTGTGCTTTGGGGTTGCCCTCCCTTTGGGATTGCCCTGCATTTGGGATTGCCCTTCATTTGGGGTTTCCCTCCCTTTGGGGTTTCCCTCCCTTTGGGGTTGCCCTCCCTTTGGGATTTCCCTCCCTTTGGGGTTGCCCTCCCTTTGGGATTGCCCTTCCTTTGGGATTTTCCTTCCTTTCCCTGCCAGGACACCAAGTTCTCCTCCCTTTCCCTGCCAGGACAGCCTGGCGCAGCCCCCTGGCTCCCAAATTTCCCTCCCTTGTCCTGCCAGGACAGCCTGGCACAGCCCTGGCTGTGAAATTCCCTTCCCTTTTCCCTGCCAGGACAGGCTGGCACAGCCCTGGCTCCCAAATTCCCCATCTTTTCCCTGCCAGGACACCAAATTCCCCCCCCTTTCCCTGCCAGGACAGCCCTGGCTGCCAGAGCTCCCGAATTCCTCCTGCTCTCAGCTCTGGTTTCAGGATCAAGCCGTGCTCAGGCAGCAGAAAATTGGGAATTTTTCCTGCTGAGCTCCCCAGCATTCCAGGATTTCCCCCCTGCAGCACCTCTGGGTGCTTCCCTCGGCTGTGCCAAGCAGAGGGCGAATCCAGAATTCCTGCAGAAAATAAGGAACATTCTGGAGCTCTTACCCAGCCCTAACCAACCCCAAATCCATCGTGGCCTCCTCAACACCTCCCTGGGGGGCAGCAGCAGCAAACCCCTGCGTCCTTTTCTCTTCCAACACAGGATTTGTGTGCGTGCAGGATTTTTTGGGAAGCCAGGAGCGGCCTGCCCCATCCCAGCATGGCAGACCAGAAGCGTCTGGCCTTCTCCATCATCCAGTTCCTGCACACCCAGCTCCAGAACGGCTCCATGTCTCCAGATGCTCAGGAGAGTTTGGAAGGTGGGTGCATCTGCCTCTGTCAGGCCAAAATTTGGGAGAATTTTGCTGTTTTTCCCCCTGTTTTCTACCCCTGGCTTGGCTGGGCTGCTCCCGGTGCTGAACCTCGCTGGAATTTTGGGGTTGATTTTTGCTTTTGGGATTTATCCAGGGGGGCTGGTGGCTTGTGTGGCTTCTGATCTCTTGCAAGAGCAGCTTAGCAGGAGGCAGGGATGTCCCTGGGGTCAGAAGCCTCCCTGATCCCTGCTTGGAGACTCAGAGCCAGGCTGAGCAGAGCCGGGAGTGCTCTGGGGGTGGGAGGTGGGAATTCCCTGGCTCCAGGGAAGCTTCTTGTGCTCCTGGGGTTGTTTCTCCTCTTCTGCTCCCCAAAATGTCGTCCCTTGGGGTTTTTCCAGGTCCTTCCAAAGAAAGGACAGGGATCTTTGAAGGTCTCCCTAAGGAGATTAAGGTTTAGTGCTTGGTTTGGGGGTTTGTCACGGTGAGGGGAGCGTGGCTCTGGGGTGGGGGGACATTGCTGGGGGGTGGCTGCTGGGAATGGGATCTTCTGGGATGTAAAGTGTGCCAGGAGGGCTCTGGGAGGCTCTGCTTTCCCTGGGAGCAGCTTCCCAAGCCTGAGGAGGGAGGAGGTGGCTCAGGGCTCCCAGAGAGAGGGGAGTGTTTGGGTCTGTCCTTGGAGTTGTGGGCCATTCCCACATTCCCAGCTGTGGGAATGCTGCTGCAGCCCCAGCCTGGTTCAGTCCCAGCCCCAGGCATCCCTCAGGGGGTGGGAACTGGGACTGGCTCCATCCAGGATATCCAGAGGGAAGCTTTGCCCAGCTCTGAGTTTTGGCAAAATCTCAAGCCCAAAAATCCCATCTGGTGTGAGAAAAATGTTGGGATTTTTTCCTGGTTTTTTTGAGAGAGGAGAGAGAGGGGTGAATATTTATTAATTAATGACCTGATTCTCCTCATCCAGTGGCCATCCAGTGCCTGGAAACAGCGTTTGGGGTCTCCATGGAAGACCAAAGCCTGGCTGTGTCCCAGACCCTTCCCGAAATATTTGAAGCCGTGGCAGGGAAGGTGAGTGAGTGCCCTGGGATGTTCCCTTTTCCCCGAGTTCTGGATTTTCCAGGAGGCTGCTGCTCCCCTCAGAGCCTCAGAGTGTGGGAGGGGAACGTTTTGGGCTGGAGAAATGGGAATTGTGGGAATGCTCAGCTCAGCTTCTGCCTCTCCTTGGAAGGAGCTGGAGCACTCCAGGACGAACTCGGAGCCCGTCACCCCCTCAGAAGATGACGTGGCTGAAGCTGAAAGGCTCAAGACTGAAGGTACCAACCCCTGGAGCTGCTGGATAACGAGGGTTTGGTGCTAATTGGGAGGGGACCTCAATTCCCTGGCGCCTGGAATTGGAGGAAAAAAAAGAGAATATTTCCTATTTCTGCCTCTTGCTCTGTTTGAGCTGCAGGATTGTCGGAGGTTTTGCTGGCAGGAATGTTGGATCAGTGAGATTTTTATCCCAAAAATCCTGTGGGGCGTGGAGCAGAGCATCCATCCTTCCTGTTCTGTGCATGACTTTTTCTTGGGAAAAAGTGGGATGAGTGTGGGTGCAGCACTTCCCCCTGAGCCAGCACCTGGGGTGGTTTTTTTTTGGGGTGCAGGGTCAGGAATGGTGGAATTCCCATCACAGCCTTGCTGCTGGCCCTTCCCCACGCTGACAAACCTCTCCTGTTTGCTATTTCCATGAATCCAGGCCTTCACTTTGATTTATCCCAGTTTTTTTCCCCTTCCCTCACCATCCTTTCCCTTCCTTCTTTCAGGAAACGACCAAATGAAGGCAGAAAACTTCGAGGCTGCCGTGTCTTTTTATGGAAAAGCCATCGAGTTAAACCCAGCCAACGCCGTTTATTTCTGCAACAGGTACTGAGCAGCTCCTCCTGCTGGGATCCCGGGCTCCAGGATGCCCAAAAATCCCATTTTTGGAAGCATCCTGTGGAGTTTTGGAGCAGTTCCTCGCTCGTTGTGGGATCGTGCCGTGCTTTTGGTGCCTCCCGGGATCTCTGGGTGGGATGTGGGTGTGGAAATGGATTTTTTTAGGCACTGGAGGGATGAGGGGTGCCAGGGAGTGGGGTCTGCTTCCATGCAGAGTGGGATGTGCTGGGAATTCAGGGTGGAGGCTCCTCGTGGAGAATTAAGGAGGCTGGGTGTGCAAAATCAGCTGTGAAAAAAGGGGAGGGGTTTGTGTTTCTCAGGAAAATCTTGGGTAAAACACACTTTGAACTTTAATTTGATGGAATTCCCTGGTTGTGCTGGGAGCTCAGACCCACCTGGACATGGTGGTGACCTGGGGAGGGGATTTTGGGTGGGAATTGGTGCTTTTGGCTTTGTGGGAGGGTTTGGGGCTGGTATGTCTCAGAATTGTGAGGTCAAGCATGAAAATCAGCCTTAAAAAACAAATCTTTCCTCTTTGGAATGTGGGGAAACGTTGAGAAATTGAGGGATGAGGGGAATGAAAGGAATTTTCTCAGCAATCCTGGAATGTCACCAGGAGGAGCAAGAACCTGGATGTGTTTGCTATGGGAACGTGTCTCTTGTTGACAGAGTGACAAAATTATCTTTTGTTCTTTTAAAAAGGAAAGAAGCTTAGAAGTTTTTCTCTTTAATTAGGTGAAAAGACATCTCATAGGACTTGGGGAACTCTAAACTTGAGGATAGGCAATTGGACAGAAGCTAAAAAGTTTTGCTTGAACAATTTCCTAGAAAAAGAAGAGAACAAAGGCACGAATGGCTTTTGTGAGGTGTTTCACCAGGGGCAAAGACCTTTTGCACTTGGCTTGGTTTTTTCTTCTAAAGAGTTTAGTTATTTTGCCTTTTATTAAAACCTTTTTGTTTCCAGCACTGCCACAGAAGCCATCCTGCTGATTTTATACCTCCTGAGGTAGCTGAGCTATTGAGGTGTGAAATAAATCTCCAGGAGTTTGTGAGACCTGCCTTGAGGAGACCCAATTTCAGTTTGGAGCTGGGACTCAGCTCACACAGGGCTGACTTCCTTTGGTGTATTCCAGCTTCTCAGCATCCCCTGCCTCCTGTTTTTCCCATTTTTTCCAGAGCTGCTGCCTACAGCAAGCTGGGGAATTACGCGGGGGCCGTGCGGGACTGCGAGCGCGCCATCGGCATCGACCCCAACTACAGCAAAGCCTACGGCAGGATGGGGTGAGCAGCAGCTCCTGGGCCCCCCTCCTTGGGATCCTGCATCCCTGCACGCCCCAGGGCAGGGATTGGAGCACTTTGTTCCACCAGGAAAAAATTCCTGCTCTTTCGGCTTTTTAGGGTGGGGAAAAATTCATATTTTTCAATTTTTAGGAAGTTGGTGGGACAACGGTTGGCTAAAACAAGTGACCAAAAAATTCATCTATGACTTCAATTTTAATTTTCTTTTCTGCTGGAATTTTGATTTCCTGAGAAATTCTCAATTCTAAGAAAGTTGGTGGGGACAACTGCATTTAAAAAGTGCCAAAAAGCCCCTCTGTGACTTTGATTTTATTTTCTTTCCACCTTTCCTCGGGGATCCTGCATCCCTGCACGCCCCAGGGCAGGGATTGGAGCACTTTGTTCCACCAGGAAAAAATTCCTGCTCGTTCGGCTTTTTAGGGTGGGGAAAAATTCATATTTTTCAATTTTTAGGAAGTTGGTGGGACAACGGTTGGCTAAAACAAGTGACCAAAAAATTCATCTATGACTTCAATTTTAATTTTCTTTTCTGCTGGAATTTTGATTTCCTGAGAAATTCTCAATTCTAAGAAAGTTGGTGGGGACAACTGCATTTAAAAAGTGCCAAAAAGCCCCTCTGTGACTTTGATTTTATTTTCTTTCCACCTTTCCTCGGGGATCCTGCATCCCTGCACGCCCCAGGGCAGGGATTGGAGCAGTTTGTTCCACCAGGAAAAAATTCCTGCTGTTTCAGCTTTTTAGAGTGGAGAAAAATTCATATTTTTCAATTTTTAGGAAGTTGGTGGACAGCAGTTGGATAAAACAAATGACCAAAAAATTCATCTATAACTTTTTTATTTTCTTTTCTACTGGAATTTTGATTTCCTGAAAATTTCTTATTTCTCAATTCTAGGAAAGTTGGTGGGGGCAACAACTGGATTTAAAAAGGTGACAAAAAACCCCTCAGTGACTTTGAATTTTCTTTTTTTTTTTTCCCAGCTTGGCCCTGTCCAGCTTAAACAAACACACAGAAGCTGTTGTTTACTACAAAAAAGCTCTGGAGTTGGATCCGGACAACGAAACGTACAAATCCAACCTCAAAATAGCTGAGCAGAAAATGAAGGAGACTCCCAGTCCAGTGAGTGGAGGAATTTTGGGGTTTGTTGGGGTTAAAAGAGCTCCTGGAGCAGGGTTTGGAAACAGCAATTTCCACTTTTGTGGTCAAATCTCTCCAAAATTCAGCTTTTTTTTGTTTTTCCCATGGCACCAAAGGTGGGTTTAGGTGGGCTGTTTGGTTTTTGGTTTTTTTGTGGGGTTTTTTTTGTTTGTTTTGGTGGTTTTTGGTTGGTTTTTTTGTGTGTGTGTTGGTTTTGGGTTTTTTTGTTTGTTTGTTTTGGTTTTGTGGGGGTTTTTTGGTTTTTTTTTTGTGTTTTTTTTTATTTGGTTTTTTTGGGGTTTTTTTGTGGTTTTTTTTTTGTTTGTTTACTTGGGGTTTTTGGTTTGTTTGGGGTTTTTTTGGGTTTTTTTTGGTGTTTTTTTTTGGGGGGGGTTTGTTTGTTTGGGTTTTTTTGTTTGGGTTTTTTTGTTTTGTTTTGTTTGTTTTGGGGGGGGGTTTAGGGTTTTTTTTTGTTTTGTTTTTGTTTTTTTACACAAAGAAAACTTTTGGTTTTTTTTTCCAAAAGAAACCTTTGGCAGCCAGGGAGCTGGAATATCCTTATGGATCATTTTGAAGGGGATTTTAATTTTCCAAAGGATTTTCCAGGGCTGAAAGAGGGAGGGAGGGGCGAGCAGGAATCTCTGGGGTTTCCCAGAGGGTTTGGACAGAGCCTCTTCCCCCATCAGGGGTTAAAGGTTGGATTTGGGATCCTCCCAAAAAATGGGGAAGGATTTTTCCAACAGCCTGGAGAGGCAGGACAAGGGGAGTGTTGGGGGGGGTCAGGTGGGATAATGGGAAGGAATCCTCGGATGTGAGGGGCTGGGATGGAATTCCCAGAGAAATTGGGTTCCTGGGAATGTCCAGGAGGAGAAGAGGAGCTCCAGGGGCTCCAGGAGAGCTGGAGAGGGATCTGGGACCAGGGATGGAGGGACAGGACACAGGGGATGGGTTTAAACTGGGAAAAGGGAAGGATTAAAATGGATTAAACTGGGAAAAGGGAGATCTGGGTGGGATTTTGGGAGGGAATTCCTGCCTGGGAGGGTGGGGAGGGACTGGGATGGAATTCCCAGAGCAGCTGTGGCTGCTCCATCCTTGGAAGAGCCCAAGGAGCTGGAGCAGCTGGGAGAGTGGGAGGGACTGGGAATGGATCCCTTCATCCCAATCCGTTCCTGCCGGGATTCCCTGGCTCTGGCAGCTCTGGGAATGAGGGATGGGAATGGGGAATGAGGGATGGGAATGAGGGATGGGAATGGGGAATGAGGGATGGGAATGGGGAATGAGGGATGGGAATGAGGGATGGGAATGGGGAATGAGGGATGGGAATGGGGAATGGGAAATGAGGGATGGGAATGAGGGATGGGAATGGGGAATGAGGGATGGGAGTGGGAATGAGGGATGGGAATGGGGAATGAGAGATGGGAATGGGAATGGGGAATGGCAGCAGCTCTGGGAATGGGGTTTGGAAAAGGGGGAATGGGAGTGAGGGATGGAAATGGGGAATGGGAATGGGGAATGAGGGAAGGGAATGGGGAATGAGGGATGGGAATGGGGAATGAGGGATAGGGATGGGGATTGGGAATGGGGAATGAGGGATGGGAATGGGGAATGAGGGATAGGGATGGGGATTGGGAATGGGGTATGGGAATGGAGAATGGGAATGGGAGTGGGGAATGAGCCATGGCAGCAGCTCTGGTTTCTCTCTTCCAGACCGGCGGCCCCGGAGGGTTCGACTTGGCCGGATTGCTGAACAACCCCGGCTTCATGAGCATGGTAATTCCAGAGCCTGGCATTCCTGGGATGGAGCCTCTGGGGAGCCTCCCTGGGTGGGATTCCCTGGGATGGAGCCTCCCTGGGGGCTCCCCTGGGTGGGATTCCCTGGGATGGAGCCTCCCTGGGTGGGATTCCCTGGGATGGAGCCTCCCTGGGTGGGATTCCCTGGGATGGAGCCTCCCTGGGTGGGATTCCCTGGGATAGAGCTCCCCTGGGTGGGATTCCCTGGGATAGAGCTCCCCTGGGTGGGATTCCTCAGGATGGAGCCTCCCTGGGATCTTTTTCTGGTGGGATTCCCTGGGATGGAGCCTCCCCGGTGTCTCCTCCCATGGAATTCCCTGGGATGGAGCCTCCCCGGTGTCTCCTCCCATGGAATTCCTCGGGATGGAGCCTCCCTGGTGTCTCCTCCCATGGAATTCCTCGGGATGGAGCCTCCCTGGTGTCTCCTCCCATGGAATTCCCTGGGATGGAGCCCCTCTGGAAGCTTTTCCCACTCCCTGGGGCTCTTTGGAAGCTGCTGCTGCTCCCTTCAGCTCAGACAGGGCTGGGAATTTCTCCTCAGGCTTTTCCCAGGGCCTGCTCTGCTCCGGGCTTGGCCTTTGCTCTTCTTTTTGCCATTTTTGCCATTTTCCCCCTTTTCCTGCATTCCCAAGCATTCCCAAGCATTCCCACCTTCCCTCTGGGGTTGCTCCCACCCTGTCCCTGCTGCCTCACCCGGATTTTTTATTCCCCACAGGCCTCCAACCTCATGAACAACCCCCAAGTACAGCAGCTGTGAGTTGGATCCCACTTGGATTTATTCCCCCCTGGAATTCTGGGCTTGGCCTTTCCCAGTGGGAGCAGGAGGGAATTTGGGCCAGGAATGGGGAGGGGGGCTCAGAACCAGCCCAGTTCCCTGAGCTGAGGGGGTTTGGGTGCTCTGGGAGGTGCTGGGAAAGGGATTGGGATAAAATCCTTCCCGAGGGAGGTGGGATGGGGTGGGAGATGGCCCTGGAATTGCCTCTGCTGCAGTTTTATGGGATTTCAGCATTTCCCAGCTTGGTTAAAATGGGAATATTCCCATTCCTGGCTGGTTGTGAGGAGCAGTTCCCAAAATTTGAAGAGAATGGATAAATTCCTGAATCCCAGGAAGGCTCAGGCCATTCCTGAGCATCCCTGGCAGGAGGGAGAGACCCTGTGGAGCCCCCAAATCCTTGGATTTTGGGATGAGACCACTCAGCTCCCTTTGGCTTCTCTCTGTGGGAATTCCCACCTGGATCCAGCCCTGGAGGGAATCCAGGGAATCCTGTCCTGGATGCAGAGCAGGGCTGTAATTCCATAAATCTGGGAATATCAACATTATTTTAATAATTGTATTAATTGTTCAGCTTAATTACTTATTCCCAGCCGGCCCAGGAAAAGCTGCTGCAGGGAGCTCCGAGATCCCAGCGGTCCCCGGGTGATTTTTTGGGATTTTTTCCCCAGTTCTGAGGCCGTTTTTTCCCTTCCCAGAATGTCGGGGATGATCTCGGGAGGCCACAACGCCATGGGAGCGGCCGGGAGCAGCCCCGCCACCAACGACCTGGCCAGCCTGATGATTGATTGATTGATTGGGGATTACAGGAATTGATAACTGCAATTCCAGTCAGTCGGGAGTGAGGTGATTGATTGGTGATTGATTGATTGGGGATTGATTGGGGATTGATTGATTGGTGATTGGTTGGTGATTGGTGATGGATTGGTGATGGGTTGGTGATTGATTGGTGATGGGTTGGTGATTGATTGGTGATGGGTTGGTGATTGATTGGTGATGGATGAGTGATTACAGGAATCGACAACTGCAGTTCCAATCAGTCAGGAGTGAGGTGAGCAGTGATCAGTGATTGATTAGTGATTGGTTATTGATTACAGGCATTAATAGCTGCAATTCTAACCAATCAGGAGTGAGGTGAGCAGTGATGGGTGATTGATTAGTGATTTCTGGAATTGATAACTGCAATTCCAATCAGTCAGGACTGAGGTGAGCAGTGCCAGTGATTAGTGATTGATTAGTGATTGATTAGTGATTGATTGATTGATTACAGGAATTGAAAACTGCAATTCCAGTCAGTCAGGAGTGAGGTGGGGGTCAGTGCCATTGATTATTGATTGATTGATTCAGTACAGGAATTGATAGTGTCAGTTTGAGTCAAATGAAGTTTTAAATTTCTATTTTAATTTTCAATTTAAATGTTTTAAATTAAACTAATTAAAATTAAATTAATATTAAGTCAGATCAAAATTTAAAATAAATTAAAATTTGTGAATAGAATAGAATGAAAAAATTAAAGTGAATGGAATTAAAATTAAAATCACTGAAATAAGAATAAAATAATTTTAAATTAAAATAATGAAAGCAATTTATTATATTTGTTTTCATTTAAAATAATGAAAAGTTAAGATAAAAATAAATTTAAATTGAAATAAAATTTTAAATAAATAAAATAATAATTAAATAATAATAATATAATTATAATTGTACTAATTATATATTATATAATTATATATGTTATTATATACCTATTATAACTATAATAATTAAGCCATAATAAAATTAATTAACATTTGATTTAAATAAAATAGTTATAATTTTAAAATAAATAAAATTTAAAATAAATCAATTGAAATATAATAAAATAAGGTCAAAATAAATTTGATTGGGGATTGATTGATTGATTGGGGATTACAGGAATTGATAACTGCAATTCCAATCAGTCAGGACTGAGGTGGGGGTCAGTGCCATTGATTATTGATTGATTGATTCAGTACAGGAATTGATAGTGTCAGTTTGAGTCAAATGAAGTTTTAAATTTCTATTTTAATTTTCAATTTAAATGTTTTAAATTAAACTAATTAAAATTAAATTAATATTAAGTCAGATCAAAATTTAAAATAAATTAAAATTTGTGAATAGAATAGAATGAAAAAATTAAAGTGAATGGAATTAAAATTAAAATCACTGAAATAAGAATAAAATAATTTTAAATTAAAATAATGAAAGCAATTTATTATATTTGTTTTCATTTAAAATAATGAAAAGTTAAGATAAAAATAAATTTAAATTGAAATATAATAAAATAAGGTCAAAATAAATAAATTAAATTCAAAGAAATTCCATTTCCCTGGGTGAATTCCCTGTTTTCCCTCTCTCTGCAGCCCCTGGGAATTCCAGAATTTGCTTTTCCAGCTGGGAGCCACCTCCGTGTTGCCAATTCTTGACTTGGAAGTGTCCAAGAGGGGGAAAAAACCCAAAACTCCAACGGATAAAAACCACAAAAATTCCCAAATCGTCCCATGCCCTGCATGTCCCTGAGAATCCCCATTTCCCTCCCTGCTCCTCCCTTTTTTTCCCATTTTTTCCCCTTTTTTCCCCTTTTTTTGGGTTTATTTTTTGGGTTTTTTCCCTGGCAGCCCCAGCAGAGCTGAACTCAGAATTCTGCTGGGAAATTCCCAAATCCCCTCAGGATTTGCTGCCTGGGGGGGGTTTTATTCCCAATTTTTTTTTTTGTTTTTTGGAGCATTTCCAAGCAAATTCTTTTTTTTTTCCCCAATTTTCCCCTCGGGAGCCACTTCCAAGAAGTGTTTGAGTCCCTGCTCGTCCCCATCCTTGGAATTCCCAGGATTTTCCATCTCTGGGAATGAGGATTTTGCTCCAAATCTGGGATTTTTTGGGAATTTTTTGGGATTTTTTGGGGATTTTTTGGGAATTTTGCTGCTTCTCCTCTCCATGATCCACGGGGGGGTCAGGACTGAAACTCCCCCCAGGCGTTTTTTGGGGTTTTCCCCCAAAAAATCTGGAAAATCCCATTTTGGTTGTGCAGCAAAATGGGAATTTCTCCCATGGAACGTGAGCAGGGAGGGAGTGAAGGTGTTTTTAGTGTGTTTCAAGGAGTTTTTGCTGAATTATTTTGATTTTTTTTTTAATTGCATGTCGGTGATCAGCCTGGCTGGGCTGGGGTGGAGGGAATCCAAAATCCCCCTTTGGACCCAAAATCCGAATTTGGACAGGGAGAAGCTCCTGGAGCCGCCTCAGATCCCAGCTGGGGAGAAACCAGAGGGAATTTTTTAAATCCAAAATGGATTTAAATCTGATTTTTGGCTCCCGGGGGAGGAGGAGCCCCTCTGGAACGTCGGCGAGACGGAAAAAAATCATGGAAAAAAGTGATTTTTTTTTGGTCGAGGCTCCGTGGAATTCGTGTGGTTCGTGTCGCTCGTGAGGAATAAAAACCATTTGGACACTTTGGTTGTTATCCCTGCGTGCTCAGGTGATTTTCCAGAACTTTCCACGGACTCAGGGTGTTTGGGGCACATTTAAATCCCATTTTAATCCCATTTCCCCCAATTTTTTTGTCATTCCCAGCGGGAATTCTCCTCCTGCGTGTTCCTACAGCACAAAAATAGGACAACTTTTCATTTTCCCCCATTTTTCCTTCCCTAAATTGCTTTTAATTTCTTTCCAGCTCCTTTTTTGTAGTCCCACCAAAGGAATTTCAGGCTGGAAAGGAAAATATTCTGGAATTCTCCAAAAATACAAAAACCATGGAGCTGTTTTCCTGCTGTTTTTAGCTCGTTTTGTGCTGTTTCCTTTCCCTCACCCTCCTGGCTCTTTCCTGACCGTTATTTTTTATATTTTTCTGTATTTTCCCTCTCTGGGTTGGGATTTTCCAGCTGAGCTTTTCCAGGGAATTCCTCCTGCCCTGCCTGGAGCTGCCCCTGAACTCCAAGCTGAGCGTCCGGCCTCCTTTTGGACTTTCCCAAAAATTCCTGGCTCCTCTGGGAGCTGACAGCGAAAAAAAAAAGGGAAATTGATGGAATTTTGTGCAATTTAGTGCAATTTTGTGGAATTTTGTGCAATTTCCAGGTGGGCCTCAGCTCCCCCTGCAGCACCCCACAGCTGCCATTGGAGCCGTGTGATCACAAAGCGGCAGGAGCAGAGGGTGTGGGCGCGGCGGGCGCTGTTCCAGGGGTGGTTTTCTCATTCCCGGCGCTGCCGGTTCCCGTTTTTCCCCATTCCCGTTTTTTCCTTTCCCGTTTTTCCCGGTTTCCCGGTGATGCCGGGCCCGGAACCCAGCGCTACGGGACGCGTTTCCCGCGGACCGCAATCGCCGCTTCCCCCGAGCGGCGCCGTGCGCGCGTTGATTGACAGCTCTAGCGACCAATCACAGATTTGCTTTTCCGCCTCAGCCAATGGGAGGCCGCCGTGGGCGGGCGCGTGCGGGGCGGCCGGGCCGGGAGCGAGCGGGGCCGGCCGTGAGTGAGGGGGGGCGGTTGCCGGGGTAACGGGGCCGAGGGGGTCGTGAGGGGATGGCGGGGCCGGGGCGGCGACCCCGGGGTCACAGCGGGGCTGGGGGAGCCGGGGCTGCGGGGGAAGGGGCGGGGGAGCCCCTCCGTGAGTGAGGGGCTGGAGCCCCGCCTTGTCCTGAGGGGCCGGGGCTGGGCCCGCTCTGGGTGTGAGGGGTCAGGGGGGACCCCAAGCTCTTGTGAGGGGTGAGGGGTCCTCTCCTCGCCGTGAGGGGCTGGGGTCGGGCGCCTTCCCCTTCCTGAGGGGCCGCATCTGGCTGTGAGGGGCTCCTGAGGGGCCCCTTCCCCACCTTGGAGGGCTCAGGGCGGCCCCGGCCCCCTCTGTGAGGGTCTTGCCAGCTGAACTCTCCCCGTGTGAGCTGCTCACCGCCCTCACAGCGATCCTAAAATCCCTCCTCTTATCTCTGCTCCCCTTTGGTGGGCTCAGGGTGGGCTGGGAGCAGCCCCTTCCCCATCACCCCCTTTGGGACAGTCTCAAAGGGCTTGGAAGGGCCGGATTTCAACAGAAACTCTGGGATTTAGAGGCTCACGGATGAGGAACCCCTTTGTTTTTCCTCCCACAGAGCCCTGCCTGCTTTATAGAATACTTTTCATCGCTTGGATGCTTCGTTTTGAGCCACTAAGCCGAGCAGGAGCTGAGCTGAGCCCGTGCTGCAGCAGTTCTGGGGCTGGGGTCGCAGCCCAGGTGTGCAGGAGGGGCAGGTGAGGAGTTCCCCAGGGGTTCCCGGGGCTTCCTTCCCCTCAGGGGGCTCCAGCCCCGTTCAGCAACGCTGGATGCAGCTGCTCCATCTGAACTGGGGAGCTTGAGGCTTTGGAGGGGGTGGGTTTGGGTTAAAAATGGGGGGAAAAGGGAAAAAAAGTGAGGTTAAAAGGTTTCTGGGAGGAGCCAGGTGTGTTCCAGAGGCGTGGGCTCTGGAGAAGGAGGATTTCATCCTTCCCTCTGCCCTGGCACAGGTGTGGCCGGGCCCGGAGTTTGGGCTTGGCCACACCTGGGGTGAGTCAGTGCCACCTGATGGGCTCTGGATGCCTCTCCCTGTCCCAAAGAGAGGGACTGGGGGGGCAGCACACGGGGAATGGCTGCCCACGGCCCGAGGGGAGGGGGTGGGTGGGAGTTTGGGGACAGGATAGATGGGATGTTGGGGACAGGATAGATGGGATTTTGGGAAGGGGATAGATGGGATTTTGGGGAAGGGACAGATGGGATTTTGGGGAGAGGATGGGTGGGATTTTGGGGAGGGGATAGATAGGATGTTGGGGACAGGATAG